GCAGCTTCGCAGCCCAGCGCTAAACCGCTGCGCCACCAGGGAAGGCCTGGAAAATGTTTTTCTAAATTGTTAAAATAACGTTTTTCTTCTTAACTTGTAACAATTAAAACCAATTGTCTCTCCTCGCCAAATTACAGCATAGATTTTTCTCACATTGTTCCAACTATGGCTTCAGAAAAACATACAATTTGTCTCTTACATGTCTCTTTCAGTTTATTTTATTTATCTACTGGATTTCATGAAAATTTTGCAAAATTTGTACATCAAAAGACACTATCCACAGAGTAAAAAGACAATCCACAGAATGGGAGAAAATATCTAGTAAAGGGGTAACATTCAGAATATTATATGACTCTTTAATCTGATTTGTAAGATTTCCCACATTTTGTTACCCTCAACTTCTTAGCAGGAGAACCTCATTATTTAGAACACTTTGAAGTGAATTCCCTTCCTTTATAGGATTTCAACAACACCTGGTGTTTATCCTTATTCTTCTCATTCTCACTCCCTTTCTCGCAATACCCCAGAAACCACAAAAGAGCTCCAGGGTATTAGATAGCCACTGCCACCAAATCTCTTTTCAGTGAGCACTTTGAGTCCTCAGGCTCCCAGGCTATATTGACCTAGGGTGTAAACAAATACCTTTGACTCTTAAAACCAACAAGACAAGGCTTGATTTTTTTTCAAAAAGATTTTATTGATATGAAGGGATAATTTATGGAAATACTAATGTCTTATATTTCCCCTTTATTCATGTCAAGCAGATAGCAAAACCATTTGTATTCCTTTGTCTAGAATGTTAAAACTGAAGTTACTTGAAAAATCATGCTTTTTCCTGCTACTGTTAGAGCGTGAGCTCATTGAAGAAATGATGGTCGATGTCTGAGAGGTAAATGGGGGGAGTGCCTTTATTTAAAACTGGGGAGAGATAGGACATTTCCTTATTTTGGGAAGGTGTGTAAATTGTAAATTGGTGGAAATTGGTGTATTCTCATTGCTGTAGCAGTGCTCATAAGCACGGTCTGTTGAGAAGGGGTAAACTTCTAAACATCAAGGTTCCTAAACACAGCAGCAATTCTAAGATTATAACTGAATCCCTGGATTTCAAGAATCTCAGCAATAACCACTGTGGGCTGATGACTGGCGGTCTATGTATGAACTAGGGCTGTCAAAGTTAGGAAACTGACAATGCTTAAATTTTCCAGCCATCTTGATGTGACAGAGACTCAATCAAGTTATCTTTTACCTCTAACCCTAAATAGCCTAACAGAAGGCATCTCTACCAGTTCTGGTAGTTCCCCTGCTTGCCCAGAAAAGATAACAGAGTAGAGTGGAATAAGCCAGACAAGCAAGTTTTCTAATTCTCCAAGTCTCAGTCCCTTCCTTGTAAAATGGAAGTTAGACTAATAAGGACTGATATGGAACTTGTATACACCGGCAAAACCATACCAGTTTTTAAATTATTGGAACTCTTCCACAGTAGAGGGCAAAAAGTAACTGTCCCAAAGCCCAGGCCCTCTCTAGACCTCCCCATAATCCAACTTTCTCACTATCCTATGCCAGCATGGCTGAGTGCCTGTGCCCTACTAATTGTTAATTGTTTTGAACATCACTCTTGATAATAACCTCTTGACACTGTCATTAGTTTTAAAGTGGGTTCAGTGAAAGCAAGCTAATGACACTTGATCCTTGCCAACTCCCCTCCTCTTTCATCTCCTTCATACATGGGTCCTTAAGCCATCTTTTTGGATCTAGGGCCAAATTACACTTGTACTATGCAGCTGCCATAGTATCTGACTCTCATGTGGCCTTCAAAGATTTTTCCTTAATCACCTTAAGCAAGTTTCTCTTTCCCGTTCAGTTTAAAAATAGTTGTTTTGATTTTTTTAGATAGAAGTTTTATTAAGTTTTTATAATTCACATACTTTAAAATTCACCCTCTAAAAGTATATGGTAAAAAGATACAATATAAAATTCAGTGGTTTTTAGTATATTCATAGAACTGTGTAGCCATCACCAATTTCCAAACATTTTAACACGCCAAAAAGAAATCCCATATCCAACAGCAGTTACTTCCTATTCCCTTCCCACCAGGTCTTGTTAACCATAAGTTTACTTTCTCTCTATACAGGTTTACCTATTCATAGAAATAAAATCACTCAATGTGTGGTCTATTTGTGTCTGGCTTCTTAGCATAACGCCTTCAAGCTCACCCATAAAGTGGCATGTATCTGTGCTTTATTCCTTTTTTCTTTTTGATGAATAAGATTTCTTGTATAGATACAAACTTTCTTCATTGTTTTTATTTTTAAGCAAGGCCAGTTTAGTCTTTTTAAGATGGGCCAAGATCTTATTGGTTTTTTTTTTTTTTTTTAAGATTTATAAGTCATTGAAAGTAGAAGGTATTAAGAATGGACTGTCATTAGGCAGTCCAATTACAAATGTGGAAATTTCCTGTCATCAGAGAGAGTCTTCTCCCTTCAAAGCTGAGGCAAATGGGTTATTCTGCTTTGAAAAGCTCTTATCTTCTGCCTGAAAGATGTTTCAACCTTTAAGCTAATTTTAGAAGGCCTAAGTTTTAGGCCACGAAACCTACCTAGGGGACCATTTTTGATACTGTGTGCTAAGTTAGGATGTTATCATTGGCAGCTCACTTCCATCCTGTGTCTATGCAGGCATTTCTTCTTCATTTTTCTCTTTTTCCTTAATATACTTGCTGTGTGCTGATGAATTAAAAAAAATTCTTATAATTACTTTACAGACTTTGTATACACATGTTTTTGTAAGCACACAGACTGTCTCTGAAAGGATACACAAAAAAATGGTAAAAGTGGTTGCCTATGGGAAAGAGAAGACAGGCATGGAAGACTTATTTTTCAGTCTATATCCTTTTGTGACTCATTCAAAATGAATAAAATTAAATAATTACTTCATAAATGCTAAACAAAATTAAACTTGACTAGAAGAATGAGGCTTGTTAATTTGAAAGGGATATTTGCAATATTACACAGATCTTGCAAAATGCATATATTTTCATCTCTCAAGCATTTACTTCTGCTGTTTCCTCAGCTTAGATTGCCCTTACCTTCTTTAACCTCCCTTTGTCCTAATAAAATCTGATAATTTATGTAAGTTCTCAATTAAAAGCATTTTTATATTTTATCTGCACTATTATACATTGTGTTTTCTTTCTTTCTTTCTTTATTAAATATCCTTGTTTATTTTTTTCACAAATCACAATAGGATTTATCCCTTCAGGTTCGGTCACCATAGTTATCCCACCTCCAAAGCACCCACAGTATTCAACTATACTCTCCTTGGGCCCTGCTCTCTACCCTCCCTCTCTCTCTCTTTTATTTTTAAGATTTATTTTAATTATACCAGGGTGCAGGCCAGATTGCGGGAAGATGAGAAGATTCATCAGAGACAGAGTGGGAAACAGAACAGGCAGAATGACTGAAATACACTGCTGAGGGGAGAATTGGGTGAGACAAGAGAGGTCTGCTGTGCCTTGTGGGTAGCTCCCTGGCCCGCCAGGATGGAACTCTGTGCTGCAGAGTCTGTGGATAGCTTCACAGTGCTGTGCTAAACACCTGGCACCTCGAGGGAGGCCCTACTCTCCCTCTCTTGCTCCCCCTGCCCTCCTGAGTGTCTCAGATCTAGTCTACTTTCAAGGGTCAGTCACACAGTTTGTCTGATCCATTGTTTTCTCTAGATTCCATATATAAGTGAAACCATCTGGTATTTATCTTGCTCCTTCTAGAAAAAGCAGCATTTTTAGAAGTGATCCAATTTTCAAATAAAAAATACATGGTAAGTAAGGGCATTCTTCAAAGGAGTAGAACAAACAATACTGAAATTCATATGAAATAAAAAACAACCCCCAAATATCCAAAGCAATCTGACAAAAAAGAGGAAGAATGTCTGTACCACACTTCCAGACTTCAAACTATACCACAAAGCTATGACAATTACAATAGCATAGTACTGGAACAAAGAGACACAATGACCAATGGAATCTAATTGAAAGCCCAGAAATAAAACCACACCTATATGGATAGCTGATCTATCACAGAGGAGTCAAGAATATACATTGGAACAAGGAAAGCCTCTTGAATAAATGATGTTGGCAAAACTGGACAGTGCATGCAAAAGAATGAATTCACACCATCCACAAAAATCAACTCAAAATGGATAAAAGACTTTGATGTAAGACTTGAAGCCACAATATATATAGGAGAAAAGGGCAAAACACACCATGACATAGCTTTCAGAAATATATTTGTGGATTTGTCTCCAGCAGCAAGGAAAACAAAAGAAAATATAAACAGTTGGGACTACATCAAACTAAAAACACAGGGTTGCCACTATCGTTACATTTCAATAACACACACAGCTCACAGTATGTGAGGCAGGCTTGCGAGAGTGCATTGCATGCACACACGCACACACACACAATTATGTCTGTCTGCTATTGGCATGCGTGATTATAATAAATTATATATTCCAAAGTGAACGCAGTCTCTGAGCATAATTTGCTGCACAAAAGGTATCATCTAAACCTCACAATAACTAGTTTGCACAAGGTCTTGCTGTAGTAAAACCAGACAAGCATCAGACCCCAGACTTCATGCTCTTTGGAACTGGACCATTCTGAACCTCAAGTAAAAAGACCATTTATTTTATAACCAGAAATACCCATTAAACTATTTTAAGAAAATTCTGCTCACAACTTCACTTCCTTGGTGTCCCATAACACTTTGTATCTCTGATGGCACCTAGGGCAATCTGACAATCCTGTAGTTAACTCCCTTTATCTATCCGCCCTAGGGGGCTACAGCAGGCCTAAAACCCAAGACCACTTAGTAGTGCACTTTTTTTGTTTGTTTGTTTGCGCGGTGGGCGCTAAACGGAAATGTGTCCTTAATTTGGCTATGGGGTGTGGGTGGGGCTAAGACTAAGTATCAGTGCTCACAGATAATTAAGAATTTTTTTTTTTTGGTTAATATAAACGCCTCACGAATTTGCTTGTCATCCTTGCCCAGAGGCCATGTTAATCTCCGTATTGTTCCAACTTTAGTATATGTGCTGCCGAAGCGAACACTGAAGAATTTCTTCCAAGAAACGTCCAGATGTTGAACAGGTCTCTCCAGTCCCTTCCACAGTGGTTTCCTTGCTCACGCTACACCGTTGTGCCCTCTCTCTTGCCAGTGCTCTCCTCCCGCCGGGGCTGGGATCTGAGGAATCCCTAAGTCGCCGAACCTCTCCCGCCCATCCCAGGACCTCTTAGCTGCTCTCGGGAAGAACAAGGAGACCCAAGGGGTGGGTCTCCACGTGGGCACGGGAGCAGCCATCTCGCATTCTGGCAGAATGGTTTGCGAGGCTAGAAAAGCCCCAGCAAGCCCGGCCCGCCGAGCTGCTGCCCGTACTTAAGATGGCGGCGGCGGCTGGGCGTGGCTTGCGCCTGGGCCTCGCGAGGAGGTGGGGGATCATGGCGGCGGCCGCGGAGCAGAGTCGGGAGGACGAGGAAGGGGAGGTAGAGGAGGCAGTGCGTGCTAACCCACAGAGTGGTGCGGCGGTGGCGTTGATGGCCGAGCCGCCTGTGTGTGGGGAAGAGAACCCGGGATGCGGCGGGCAGGCGGGCGGGCCGGAAGGAGGGCCCGCGGACGCCTCACGCGAGTCGGGCGCGCGGAGCCGGGGGAGCGGGAGCCTCAGCCTTCATTGCCAGACGGTAGCGAGAACGGGGAAAGAGGGGAAGTCACCGTTGGTGATGTCGCTGGCTTCCTTCTCTTGAAAGTAGGGCCCAGTTTCCACAACGGTGGGTTCAATGCAATGGGGATTTTTCGCTTGTCTTAATTACCTCTTCCTGTTATACCTCCTTTCTTCTTCCAGGAGCAGTTGGTTCTGGTGGAATTGTCAGGAATTATTGATTCAGATTTTCTTTCAAAATGTGAAAATAAATGCAAGATTTTGGTGAGTCTTCTAGAATTATTGGGGCATTGTTGCAGTTTTTCTTTAATACAGGAATGAAGGGGACATAGCTACTCCCAAAGATAGGAATCTTCCTCATTACAAAGCAGCGAACGCTTAAGGATCTTCACAGCCAAGAGGACTGTGGGAGTACAAGGGAGAAAATGCCTAACTCTGCTTTAGTATCTGAGTGGCTGCTCACTGGAGAGAAATAGAGATTTTGATATGGAACAATATGGCATGTTTTGAAGAAAGAAAAATACACTGAAAGTGGGAGTGGAAGCGAAACACAAATTGAAGAGTGGAAAATAAGATGTGCACACTGAGGTTAAACTGTGGAGAAGGCAGGAAAGATAACTGGTAACTCCAGAGCCCTCACTCTGCTTTTGATTTTAACTATGGTATCATGAGTTACCACCCGATTGATCACTTTAAACTATTAGAGCTGTTGTTGACAAAATGTCTAGTTCTTGTCTTAAAAAGAAGAGGATATTAATTGCAATAAATAGACCGTGGTAGTGGGGTAAGAATTAAGTAGTCTTCAGGTTATAGTGGCTGTGATCAGAGCAGTTTTGGCTTACCTTGTAATTGCTAGAAAGCTGCTTATAGAGGTTCCCCAGTTTTGGAGAGGAAACCCCTTGGTACAAGGTTACATAGTGAAGACTTTTTCTAATGACTTTTTAATGAGCCTACATTCTGTTGTAGGGTATTGACACTGAGAGGCCTATTCTGCAAGTGGACAGCTATGTCTTTGCTGGGGAATATGAAGGTAGGATGTCAGATAGATGAAACTCCTTTTAAAATATGATTCTCAGGGGCCTCCCTGGTGGTGCAAGGTGTTAGTACTATGAAGCAATCCGCAGCCTCTGCAGCACCAGTTTGATCCCCTGCCAGGGAGGTGACCCACATGACGCAGCAGACCTCTTCTGATTCTCCCGCTGTTTTTCAGTAGATCTTCCTGTTCTGTTCCTCACTCTGTCTCTGGTGAATCCTCTCACCCCCTCCCTTGCACTTCTGGCCTGTACACCAGTTCTTGTATGCATAAATAAATACATCTTAAAAAAAGAAAAAAGGGCCTCCCTGGTGGTGAAGGGGTTAAGACACAACCTATGAAGCTGTCCACAGCCTCTGCAGCAAGAGTTCGACCCCGGCTGGCCATGGAGCAACCCACATGGTGCAGCAGACCTCTCCTGACTTGCCTGCTGCTCCCTTCTGCAGTGTACTTAGGTCAGTCTGCCTGTTCTGCTCCCCACTCTGTCTCTGATGAATCCACTCACCCCCCCCCCCACACCTCTGGCCTGTACCCCATCTCTTGTATGCATAAATAAATTTTTTTTTAAGATTTATTTATTTATTTATGGAAGCACTGGGTATAGTCAGAAGTGAGGGAGGGTGAGAAGATTCACCAGAGCCAGAGCGGGGAACAGAACAGGCAGACTGATGAAGTACACTGCTGAGGGGAATAGCGGGCAGCAGGAGAGGTCTGCACACCAGGTGGGACCCTCGCCCGGTGGCCAGGGATCGAACCAGCGCTGCAGAGGCTGTGGGCAGTTTTGCAACCCAGCTCTCAACCGCGCCACTGGGGAGACCCATAAATAAATAAATCTTTAAAAAAAGTAAAAATTAAAAAAAAATACGATTCTCAGAGAAAGTAGCTCAGTCTTCTGAACAAGGTGACTTCACATTTTCTTGCAGACACTCTTGGGACCTGTGTTATATTTGAAGAAAATGTTGAACATGGTGAGTGATTGCTTTACTAAACCAACTCTTTTTACTATGAAATATTTCAAACATACATGTACAGTGACTATTAAGCATCTCATGTACTCATTGTCTAGGTTTATCAAATCCTACCATCTGTCAGATATCTAAAAAACATTCCAGATACATTTGAAGTTCTTTGTATATCCCACTCCAAACTTAATTCTCTTCTTTGTATCTTTAGGGGTAGTCACTCTCCTGAATTTAGTGTTTTTTCCCCTTGTTCCTGATTTTATATTACATGTGTATGTTTCCACAAACAATAACAATTTTTGTATATTTTCAGGCTTAGAGATGTTTTGAGATTTGTACATGTTGATATAATTCTAGCTTATTTTCCCTGTTACTTAGTATTCCAGTTGTGACTGTACTACATTTTATTATCCACTAATAATGGACAAGTTCATTGCTTTCACGTTTACCAATAATTATTATGAACTAATGATTTTTACTGAGTGCCTTATGTATGTCTGGCACTGTTCTAAATGTTACATGTACTAACTTAATATCCTCACCACAACGCTTTTAGAGAGATACCATTATTTTTTTATATTTGAAGAAACTGAAGCACAGAGAGGTGAACAGTAGTAACACTCTCGAGGTCATACATTAGGTAAGTGGGCAGAGCAAGGATTTGAACCTTTGGTGGTAGCCCCAGAACCCTTATTAACTCTTAATTATGCTTAATTATGCTTATTAACTCACTACAAAAATGCTACCCTGAATAATTTTATGTGTTTTATGCATATATGTAAAAATGTCTCTAATGTTATACACTTAGACATGGAATTGCTAGATTGTGAGTGTATGGGTCTTCAACTTTACCACTAGGTTGGATTACTAGCCGTATGATTTACCAATTTTGGCCAAATAGCCACATTTTCATGTAGTTCAAATTAGATATCTCTGTGTTGCTTTCTCAAGTGTGATATCGGTTACATTTAAAGTACCAGTGTATGGAAGTCTACAGCATGCTTCGCATCCTTAGCTTAGAGACACATCTTCTCTCTCACCTCTGCGTATATTTTTTATAAAGCTGTAATCCTAGGCAGCAGATTGGTAGTTACCTATGCAGCCTCCTTTCATGATTGGGAATGTGTCCACTCTTGGCTTCAAGTAATAAGTCTGACTTTGGTCCTTCATTTTGAGTGGTAGAATTTTAGACCTTGTTACCATATAAGGCCAAATTTTTGTCCCTAGTTTTCTACTTCAGTGCTAGAGCCTGTAGGCCCATAGTTTTAATCTCATTCATAGCTTTGTATTTCTGTCTCTTGGAGATGTTTATTGTTTTTGAATCTGGTTGTGCCTTTAGTTGTTAAGATTTTTATTTGTCTTTCATTGTGCTTAAAACAAGAGTGGTGAGTTCAGTCTTGAATTTACACTGACAGAAAGTAGCTTAATTTAACTGCCTAAGGTAGAATTATTGAGATTTAACATGATTATTTCATAAAATTAAGCAGCATAATAATTGAGTTCATTTTATGTTCTAGTGGATGCAGAAGGCAATAATAAAACAGTGCTAAAATATAAATGTCATACAATGAAGAAGCTCAGCATGACAAGAACTCTACTGACAGAGAAGAAGGAAGGAGAAGAAAATATAGGTTAGTTCACTCAAATTCTCTAAGAAAAATAGGTGATTTAACATTAGCTTTTACAATAACATATTGCTGCCAGCACATTCCATTACTTTGCAGTAATAATTTTTTTTTTTTTAAAGATTTATTTATTTATTTATTTATTCGTACAAGCACTGGGTACAGTCAGAAGTGCAGGACGGTGAGAGAATTCACCAGGGCCAGAGTGGGGAGCAGAACAGGCAGAGTGATGAAATACACTGCTGAGGGGAGCAGCAGGCACGACAGGAGAGGTCTGTACGCCATGTGGGACCCTCACTGGCAGCCGGGGATCGAACTGGCACTGCAGAGGCTGCAGATAGCTTCGCAGCCCAGCGCTCAACCGCTGCGCCACCAGGAGAGGCCCTGCAGTAATAATTTTTTTTTAAAGATGTATTTTATTTAGGCATACTAGAACTGGGGTGTAGGCTAGAGGTGTTGGGGGGGGGGGTCGGTGAGAGGATTCACCAGTGACAGAGTGGGGAAGCAGAACAGGCGGATCCACTGAAATACACTGCTGAGGGGAGCGGCGTGTGAGACAGGAGAGGTCTGCTGCGCCATGTGGGTTAGCTCCCTGGCCTGGGATCAAACTCATGCCGCAGTGGCTGGCCATAGCTTGATAGCACTGAGACTTTAACCCCTGCGCCACCAGGAAGGCCCCTGGTGGGGGTAGTAATAATGATATGTAATGTTAAATACATTTAGATTGAAGGTGCTCCATGGAACATACCAAACAGATTTAAAAATTATTTGAACTCTAATATAGCAGAGGGCACTGGAAACATGCAATCAGAAATCTCTGCCTGCTTTGCATAGGAAATAATTATGGAGTTGGCCAAGAAACCTGGTAAGATTTCCAACCCGTAGGGGATTCAGAAGTCGTTTCTTTTTTTTTCAAATAAGTCCTTTATTAGTGGAGAAGACATAGTGATAGTAGTTCTGGATTTCCAAGCTGTAGCCCCAGATGGTCTCTTGGAAACTTTTGGCAGCTGCAACAACCTTCCTGAGAAGCTTACCACTAAAAAAGCTAGCTGTGAGTTGGTTAAGTGACTCCAGGACCACAGTTGGTACTCCTGAGTCAAGTTCTTAATTAGCGTTCATTTAGCCTTCTCTGGCTGCTGTTCATTACAGACTAGAGACTTTACATCACTGCTTTTTCTATCCATGGCAGGCACATTTGGGGAAATGAACAGATAATCACTTTATGATGTAAAAGTTCGTGCTCAAAGACATATTTGAAACTGTAATAAATATGAACTCAGTTACTTGGGATAGTAACTGAAGTTGTTGACTATTTTAGTGATTTTGATGATATATGTCCTGTAGACATTCTACGGTCTCCTTGTAAGATGGAAATTACATGATTATTTATCAATTACAGGTACCATGTTCTTTTATATTTATATTGGGGTTTTATTTTGACATGTATTCATGGATGAAAATTCTTAAAGAAAAATATGCTTAAGTAACTGAAATTCCCTTTCCATGGTTCTTTCTTAATTTATCCTTCCACCTCTCATCCTTCCCAATTAGGTGGTGTGGAATGGCTGCAAATAAAGGATAATGATTTCTCCTATAGACCCAATATGATTTGTAGCTTTCTGCATGAAAATGAAGATGAAGAAGCTGTAGCTTCAGCATCAGATAAACCTTTAGAATTGGAAGAGCAAGAGATTCAAATGAAAGAGAATTTAAACCTAAGTTCTGAACAAGAGAAACCATCACACTTGGAATTGGAGGATTCTGCTCCTCTTATTCCTGTTCCTTCTCTTGAGATGGAAGGTTCTGTTTTTATGGAATCTCAGGATACTGCCTTAGAAATCACTCCTAGGTGAAATGTTTCTCAAAGCTGTGAACTTTTTATTTTTAGAATTTTTGTATAAAATGATTGTAACTTTGAACTGTTCACTATTGTTTTTTGTCGACTGTATACACATTCCTAATGATTGCTCAACTTAATATACCAGGATCATAAAGGACCAGGTATGAATTGAATTTTTTAAAATATGATTTAAATGACTATAGGTACCCTTTTTTGATGAATTCTTTAACTTAGAAGCTTTGCTAAGGTAAGTGTATATGTTTTCTATTGCAGTCATCACAAATTACCACAGACTTAGTGACATAAACAACACAAGTGTATATTTTTACAGTTTTGCAGGTCAGCCATCTGACATGGGTTTCACTTGATTTGAAATCAGGGTGTTGGCAGGACTTTGTTCTTTTCTGGAGGCTGGGAGTGGAATGGGGGACTTTATTTCTTTGTTCATTTAGTTGTGGCAGAATTAAATTTCTTAAAATTGAAGGATCAAGGTCCCATTTCCTTGCTGTCAACTCAGCGTCTAACAGCTATCCACATTCCTTGACTCATGATTCCCTTCTCTTCAAAGCCATTAATAGTCAAACCCTCTTTTTGAGCCTTTTCAGCTATTTCCATTATCCTAGGTCTGACCAGCCCTCTGCCTTCCACTTTTAAAGGTCCATTTGATTACAGTGGCCCCATGTGGATGATCTCTTTATTTAAGATCTGTAAACTTAATTCCATCTGCAGAGTTCCTTTTGCTATGTAATTTATCATAAACAGACATAAAACTGATTATTAGAGCATGAAATCTTTGGAGGACCATTTTCTAGTCTAGACATTGAGTATTATATCTAGAAATAGAGAAAGAATTTAGAAGTGCTTAAGGATAAGGATACTGTTCTTTTGATATTCCAACTTTAATTCCACTTATTTTCCAGTTGAGAAAAACTGGATTTAAGTTTGTTAGTAACAGTCATCCTATTATGGCATTACCTTAGATCTAGTCTAGTTTGTATTTTTTTTACTAAATTATTCACAAACTTTAATACTTTGTTATAGGGTGAACTATATGGGCAGTATTTGTTTGTGTTTGAGTGCTATTGCACTTTCATATGGTTTAACCTGGTACAATGAGGTTTAAAATCCACCTCATTGTATCTCACAACTGTTAGAGATATAACTGTTGTGACAAATTAGAGAACTAACATTCTAAGATGAACAATTTTTCTCTTCACTAAGTCTTGTAACTTTTAGTTGGAAAATAGCTTTTGCTGACTAATAGTATTTCCAAATCATAAGTACATACATATCCCAATTTTTATATCACTTTTTTAGTCTCAGCTTTTGATTATTAAAAAGCTTATTTTCCCCATAATATGTATGTGTAGGAGAGACTGCTAGCACCTGACCCACTCACTGTTCTTCCTTTTTTTCTTTGTAACAGAATCCCAGAATTTATTCAGGTTAGCTATGAGCCCTTCTTTCCTTGCATACATATGTGACTGTCTACTAAATTCTAGCCAGTTACACGGAATTATAAGTGTAACACTTTGGATGCTTCTAGGAAGTTTCCTTAAACTTTAAGGCTTAAAGGGAAATGGTCTAGTTCCTTTTCTCTTTCTTCCTGCTAGAACATGGATGTGGTGGCTAGAGCCCCAGCAGGCTTCTTAGACAATAAAATAGCCTTGGAAATAAAAACCATGAGAGGCAGAGAAATAAGATAAGGAAGATTAGATTCTGATATTGAATGTTTCCTTGGGCTACTGTACATACAGTTAATAAAATGTCAGGTGTAATACCAGGCAATGTTATGATTAGAAATTACCCTTTATTGGTAAACAATCTGGATGAGGAATTATAAATGCCTACTGAAAAACACAACCTTTGGGCTTGAGTGCTGTGTGTCTTATTGCAAAGATCTCTGGAAGCTGCACTCACAGGCTGTTTCAGGAGATACTGGTTTTCAGGTGCATGAAGCTGTTAAGCTAGCATGGCTTCTGCATCTTCCCTGATGATCTTACTCCCTTACCCCTGCACTGATACTTGGGAGGCTGGAGTAGAGACTTCGACTCAAATAAGCTTTGGGCTGCTGTGCTCTTTCTTGTAAAGATAAATGAGACTAGTGCCAGGTTGGGTCCCACAAGGCATATTGGGTCCTGTGAATGTGGATATCATTCCAAACCTGTGACTACTGCTGCTGTTCAGGCATATGAGGCATTGCCACTGCCCACTTCTATGTGAGAGGAATAACTTCTCTCATTTTAAGTCACTCTGTAATAGCCACACAATCCTAACTGATACATATGCATTTTAGAAAACATGAAAAATAGAAGAGTATAGAGTGGAAGATTCTTGAAATTTGTAATTTTGCAAATAAAAACTGACTTAATGTGTTGAAGGGGAAAATAAAGTCATAAATTCTGAAGAGACCATGATAGGTTTTATTTTTTATTTTTTTAGAATTAGTTGTAAATTTTTTTTTTTTTAAGATTTATTTATTTATACAAGCACTGGGTACAGTCAGAAGCGCGGGAGGTGAGAGAATTCACCAGAGCCAGAGCGGAGAGCAGAACAGGCAGACTGACGAAGCACACTGCTGAGGGGAGCAGCGGGCGGAAGGAGAGGTCTGTCGCGCCATGTGGGACCCACCGCCTGGGATGGAACGGGCGCTGCAGAAGCTGCGGGTAGCTTCGCGGGCCAGCGCTCAACCACTGCGCCACCGGGGAGGCCCCAGGATGGATTTTAATTTGTTACCTATATCTGTGTTTGGAATTTAGTAAAATCAAATCTTATGTTCCAACTACACACTCTTTTTATAAGACTAGAACTTCTTCTATGAATTTCTCTACCATTGATCTTACTTACTAGCCAGAATTACTTGCAAACTAATCTTAGAACTAGTCTCTCTTGTAGCTGTTACACTACTACTTCCAACTCTAAATTCAGTGGGTAATATTTTTTTTTCTTTTTTTTTTAAGATTTATTATTTATTTGTTTGTTTGTTTATACAAGCACTGGGTACAGTCAGAAGCGCGGGAGGGTGAGAGAATTCACCGAGCCAGAGCGGGGAGCAGAGCAGGCAGAAGGACTAAAGTACACTACAGAGGGGAGCAGCGGGCGGCAGGAGAGGTCTGTGCGCCTTTGCAGGACCCTCCTCCGGTGGCAGGGGAGCAGCCGGGGATCGAACCGGCGCTGCAGAGCTGCGGGCAGCCTCGCAACCCAGCGCTCAACCGCTGCCCCACCAGGGAGGCCCTCAGTGGGTAATATTTGTTTACAAATAATGACATTCTCCCTAGAAGGATCAAGTTGTTAAAGTACATTATGGAGAATTGTATATTAAGGCCATTATAGAAATGTTTGAAAATCTACCCATTTGTTCATTATATATTACATAGCTGATGATAGCAGATTGACAGATATAGCCAGCTTGGTGAAACTATTGATAATACGTGTATTTCTATTCACATACATTATAATTTTTTAGACTCTACTGTTTTCATTTCCTTTCATTCCAACAATTTATATAAACTTATATAAAACCTAATGCATCAGGTTTATATTTCCTTCCAGAAATGTTTTCACTGATTCTGGAAATACTTTGCTGTCTTTAATAATGTCCATACTTATTTTCTTGTGAAATAAGAAAATCTTGTTTATTATCTATGCTGCCAAAGCAAACACAAGAAGAACACTTAATTCAGTACAGAGTTAATATACACCTTTGTTAGTTACAATATGTACTAAATCAACATCTAGTATTCTGTTTCTTAAAAAAACTTTTTTTGTTTAACATGGAGGGGTATTATGCTATTTTGCATCTAGATTTAATGTAGCCATACCTGTATATTATTAATAAGAATGTCAAGGTAACAGATCCCACTTTTCTCAGATCCAAAGTAATATTTCTTTCACTATCATGACTTTTTTTTTAATATCCAAAATGGCAGGTTTATTATAAAAAGGGAGAGAAGAATAAAGGACACTTGCATAGACACAAGCATGCAGAAAGATCTGCTCTGAAAAAGACAAGTTTGATAAGAGGCCTGCAATGTCACAGGTGGGCAGCCTTAGAAGAAGAGCTGCCTCTGTCCCTTTGCAAGGGGAGGCCAGTAGAGTGAAGTGCCCGCAGAGTCACAGGTGGGCAGGAGGGCTGCTACCACTATCATGTCTTAAACTCTTTATTTTCCTCATATTCCATGCTCCCATTTGGTGATTATATTCATTTCCTATCACTGCTGTAACAAATTGCCATAAACTCAGTGCCTTAAAACACCATAAATTTATTTAAGTATTTCCTCTTTTGCTGCAAATGGGGTAGTTCAGTCTAAAGCTTTGTTTTGGATAATTTTCTATACATAAAATAATTTTATAAATTCTTCAAGAAATCATGCCAAGATCCAATTCATTAAGACATCTGAGTGATAAAACATTTCTGATACAAGTCTTTCTTCAAGTCCTTTTTTCTGTATGTTTAATGATTATGTATCTAAAACCATAACCAAATAGATAGTTCAGCAATGTAATTATTATTACTAGTCTTAGTGCTTGAAAAGTTCCAAGTAATGTGAACACATTAATTCTATGAATCTGGCAACATTAGTAATAATACAATATTTTACATCACTGTAGTAACTTTAATCCAGTCCTTTCTCTAGTTCAGTTCCCACAGCTATAAAATCATAAGAGCTCAGAAAATCAACAGTTGTTTATATGTTTAAGGCAAACTAATTTGGAAGTATTATCTGACCTGAACTGATAAAAAGTTTCTTACACTCTGTTTTTTTTTTTTTGCTACAAAATTACTGATGCATAAATAATTACTTTTGATTATAAGGTATTGCCCCAAATTGCACTAATTAACAGTACCCAATATTTATATCAAATTACTTTTTACAAATCTGAAAATATCTTAATTCCAACATACCACTAGCCATAAGTGTTTCAGCTACATTGTAGACATCTGTTTTTACTTTCATTTTTTAAAAATTTATTTATTTATACAAGAGCTGGGGTACAGTCAGAGGTGCAGAAGAGTGAGAGAATTCATTTACCAGAGACAGAGCAGGGAGCAGAACAGGCAGATGGACTGAAGACACTGCTGAGGGGAGCAGCAGGCGAGACAGGAGAGGTCTGCCGTGCCATGTGGGTTTCTCCCCGGCCAGCTGGGAATTGAACCTGCTCTGCAAAGGCTGCAGATAGCTCCACAGCGTGGCGCTCAACCTGCTGTGCCACTGGGGAGGCCCTGTAGACATTTATTTCCATCTCTAATATCCCTTTGTCCTTTTCTCCCTCCCTGACTCCCTCAATCATAGAAAACTCAATAGGTTTATTAATGTCTACTAGTTCTATTAGTTTTTTTACTTTGTCAAATCAACCATGATGTAAACGTCCAGTATTTGTCTTTGTCGTTCTGATTTGCTTTACTACACATTATTCCCTTGAACGCCCTCCATTTTGTTGTAAGTGGCTGCATTTTATCTCTCCTTGTGACTGAATAGTATTCCATGGTGTGGATATGCCATATCTCAATCCAGTCCTCTAGTGATGGGCATTTAGGCTACTTTCATGCCCTAGCTATTGTAAATAATGCTGCAATAAACACTGTATTACATAGTTTTTTGCATTGATGTTTTTTCCTATTCTTTGGGTAGAATAGGAAATTTTATTGTTGCAGTCTTTTTTTTTTTAAAGATTTATTTATTTGTGCATATGAGAGCTGGGGTGTAGGGCAGAGGTAGTGGGGTGGGGGTGGGGAGTTGAGAGGATTTACCAGAGACAAAGTGGGGAGCAGAACAGGCAGATTGACTGAAATACACTGCTGAGGGGAGCAGTGGGCAAGACAGGAGAGGTTTGCTATGCCATGTGTGTTAGCTCCTTGGATCAAACTCATGCTGCAGTGACTGCAGATAGTGCTGAGACTTAATCCCTTATGCCACCAGGAAGGCCCATATATCCAAACTTTCAATCCATTTGGAATTTTTTGTGTATATATGGTGTTAAGGGTGATCCAACTTCATTCTTTTATGTGTGGCCTTCCATTTTCTCCCCAGCGTCATTTACTAGAAACTCCCCAATAAATTTATTATAGTCCTTGAGGTCAGATTCCAAGATTAAAATTTATGAGAGTAATGTCAAGTTGTTGGTAGGATTGTAATATTTCTGGGCGACTCCAGGGAAGAATATATTTTCTTGTCTTTTCCAGTTCCTAGAGGCTGCTTGCATTTCTTGGCTTAAAGCCCTTTTCTCCAAATTTAAGGTCAGCAGTTTGGTATCTTCAAATCTCTCATCTCAACTTGTCATAATATTTCCTCTGATTTTTACATTCCTGCCTCCTTCTTCAAAAAATCTCTACTTTGATTGACCCCAACCAGGAAATCTAGGATAATCTTCACATGTAAGGTGCTTAACTACATCTGAAAAACCCCTTTCACAGGTAAAGTACCATCCAGTGCTACCACACCCATATACTTTCATGCATATATTGTCCTGGGAAACAAGTGAATTCAGACCTATGATTGCCCCAATACTGTGTGAAGAATGCAACTGGAAGTCCAGGTAGACCAAGGGGGCTAGAGTGCGTTGAGCATAGTATCAGAAAAGAGTGTATAGAGAAAATATCAGATCTGCAGAGTCCTATTGGAAAAAATATTTGTGAAGTATGTATCAGATACAGGTCAGTACTTGTATCTAGAATGTATAAGGGATTATTATAACTCAACAATAATGGAGCCCAAAAGTGGGGGGGCTTCCCCTGTGGCACAGTGGGTTGAGCGCAGTGCTGTGAAGCTGTCCGCAGCCTCTGCAGTGAGGATTTGATCCCCTCTGGCCAGCGAGAATCCCACATGGTGCAGCAGACTTCTGTCGTGCCCGCTACTCCCCTCAGCAGTGTATTTCATCAGTCTGCCTGTTCTCCCCTCTCTGGTGAATCCTCTCACCCTCCCGCGCCTCTGGCCTGTACCCCAGCTCTTGTATAAAAATAAATAAATATTAAAAAAAAATAAAAGTGGGTAAAGGACTTGAATAGAGATTTTCCTAAAGAAAGTATAGTCAATCAGAGCCTCTGGTGGCATAAGGGTGAAGACGCAACCTATGAAGCTATCTGCAGCGACTGCAGCATGAGTTGGATCCCCAGCCAGGGAGCTACCCACATGGCACAGCAGATCTCTCCTGGCTTACCCGCTGCTCCCCTCAGCAGTGTATTTCAGTCATTCTGCCTGCTCCCCACTCTGTCTCTGGTGGATCCTTTCACCCCCCCCACCTCTGGCCTGTACCCCAGTTCTTTTCTTTTTTAAAGATTTATTTATTCATGCATATAAGAACCAGGGTATAGGCCAGATGTGTGGGAGGGTATACCCCAGTTCTTGTATAAGTAAATCTTTAAAAAAAAGATATTCAACATCATTTGCCATCAGGGTAATGCAAATGAAAACCACAATGAGATACCACACTCACTAAAATAACTTAATAAAAAAGTATGGATAGGGCAAATTTAGGTGAGAAATGGAGAATTGGAATCTGTGGTTAATAAAGTCTGTAAATGTGTTACCTTTCAAAACAACCCAAATGCCCAAAAATAGATGACTGGATCAAGATGTGGTACATAAACATGATGGAATGTTAGTCAGCAATCAAAAAAGATAAATTCATGCAATTGGCAGCAACATGGATGGAGCTGGACGGGAGCATGCTCAGTGAAATAAGACAGAAAGAAAAAGAAAAATACCAGATGGTCTCACTCATAGCAGGAATTTAGAAAATCTAAATAAGGGACCAGGAAAAAGACTATAGTAAAGTAAAAATCAAAATCAACAAGCAACTATAAACCAGAGACACAAGTGGGGGGGGGAGGAACAGGATCAACACAAGGGGGGTGGGACTTATATGGGGACCATAACCAAGATGAAAATGCATACATTGTGCAAAAATGAAAAATGATGTAAAAAATATATAAAATAAATCAATTAAAAATTAAGAATTAAAAAAATGGTGTTACCTTTCAATGACAAAAGGGAATTTGCTATATGATTAAGTTAAGGATCTTGAGATGGATTATTTTGGATTATACACGTGGGCTACATTAATCATAAGGATATTATAAAAGGGAGTCAGGAGTGTCAGACAGAAAAAGATGTGACAATGAAAGCAGAGGTTCAGTCGATGCCGATTGAAGATGGAGGAGTATCAGGAATGTAGATAGCTTCTAGAAGCTGGAAAAGGCAAATTAACAGTGTCCCCTGGAGCTTCCAGGTGGAATGCAGCCTAACCAACACCTTAACTTTAAACAGTAAAACTAATTTCAGACTTCTAGAATAGTAAATTAATACATTTCTGTTATTTTATGCCAGTTAATTTGTGGTGATTTAGTATAGTAGCAACAGAAGCCAACATCAAACCCTGTAACACTGCCGATGGAAATATATAGCGGTGCAGTCAGAAAATAATTTGGCAGTTCCTAAAAATGTTAAACAGAGTTACCATAAGCTCCAGCACTGTACTGTTAGCGATTCGAAAAAAATCTAGGGCCTCCCTGGTGGCCTAAGGGGTTAAGTCTCAGCACTATGAGGCTATCTGCAGCCACTGCAGCATGAGTTCGATCCCCAGACAGGGACGTAACCCACATGGCACGGCAGACATCGCCTGTCTTGCCCCCTGCTCCCCTCAGCAGTGTATATCAGTCAGTCCGCCTATTCTGTTCTCCACTCTGTCTCTGGAGAATCCTGTCTCATCCCCCCCCACCTCTGGCCTGTACCCCAGTTCCTGTATGCATAAATAAATAAATCTTTTGTAAAAATTCACATTGATATTTTCAGTGAGTATGTGAGTACCAACCATGCCATCAACCTTTTTAGCATCGTGGAGAACTCACAGAATAACAACAGGTTCGTGAATATCTGACACCCAGACGTATCCAAAATCTGCTAGAAGTGCTGTTGCTTAGTGTTAATTTCCGAGAAAGAGTCAGGGCACAAACCGGTTACCAAGGAAACGGCACAACTCCATCCAAAATGGCCGCTAGCGCGTCAGGCGTGAGCGGTGGGGCGGGCCCCAAGAAGTGACGTCACACGCAAGTTCCGGTTCCTCCAGCTCGGGAGCGGGTCCTATCCCGGGTGAGCGCGAGCTGCACGTGCGTTAACGTGGTTCGCCAGCGACAGCGATGGACGCTTTGGACCGGGTAGTGTAAGTCCGCTGGGTCTCTGCAGTCGGGAACACTGAGGCGAGGGAGGCCTGTGTCACGAAGAAGCGCTAGGCTCGAGCTTCTACCTCCCGCTCTGCCTCACACCCCCTGAGGGTCGGCCCGGGTGGGGCGGATCCATCCTTCAGTCTGGGGCTCCCTCCAGTACCGCGGCGGGGAGAAGGGGTGTGGAATCCCACTAGTGGGAGCCGCGGGGTGGAGGTGGATCGGAGAGGGTCACCGCTTTTATTCTAACCAAGCCCTTCCGCAGACGTGCGAGGGCGGCGGTAGAGTGAGGGGTTACGTGCCCAAGCCTCGGAATGTGACAGATCTAGGTGACAATCGGGCGCTTCCACTTTAAGCCTGAGCTTACTTTGCAAAACAGATTTCTTAAAAGTGGTTCTTCACAAACTGTGAGGATTATTTGCGAGAATGTATTTTACGACTTTTCTACAGCACGTAGAAATGCTCATTAGCAGCTGCTTTTTCACCCAACCTTGGTACTCTTCTCTGAGTTATCCTGGAGTAATGTCGGTTTTCAGCTGATTCAGAAAATATTTGTTGACCTCCTACATTTCTGCTATGAACCATTTGCAGTGGGTTTTATTTTGTTTCCGATTTATCTGGGGTAATGTGTAATCAAAATAACACATTCTTCATTTAGTCATTAATTCATAGATTTTTGTGCATTTGCTATGTATATACATATATATTCCCCTAGCTGTGGAAACTACAAAGATGAGTAAGACTAGTTTGTAGTTTGGAGGACAAACAACTAAAAAACATAAGTGGTGTTGGTTGTATTTGTTGCTAGTTAGTGAGAAGAAGAGCATCTCATGGAATAAAGAGCATCTACCACTTTTATTGCTATATAAAAACACTAAATCTCTTGATTTGATTTAATAAATGTGTGTCAACTAGTAAATGATTAGAAGTTTTAAATTAGCTTGGCAAATGATCTGAAGGAAAATTGGCATGCCTTTTTTGTGTTAGGACCCATTCTGACTGCTTTAAGTTTGAAGGAAAAATAATGGACTAAAAATAGCAACAATATTCACTTGAGCTATTTTTTTTAAATAAGGATTTAGGAAGAAAGCAGTAATAAAAGAATTCTGGGAATATAAAAATGAAAACCTTTATTTAAAAAACCAAGAAACTAATAAAATTGACACTTTTATAGCGATGACTAAGTATCTTACTACAATCTCCTTGCAAAGAGAGTGTTGATTAGTGGTGAAATCCTAACTGAAAATGTTATATAATATCTATTGGCTTTTAAGTATTTGCACTTTAGTCAAAATATGGTTTTGTAATATGAAGAAATGTTTTAAGTTATGAATTGTGATTTTTCTGAACAGAAAGCCCAAGACCAAAAGAGCAAAGAGATTTCTTGAGAAGAGAGAGCCGAAGCTCAGTGAAAATATTAAAAATGCCATGTTGATTAAAGGGGGAAATGCAAATTTGACAGTAACCCAAGTGCTTAGAGATGTGGTATGTATATCTACTTGCTTTTTGAATGGTATTGAAATCACTTTAGGACATTTTCACATTGTAGTTTGGGCTGGTGGAGAAATACATAAATACTTAAAGCAACAGTCTTGCTTTAAGAACTGGAACCTTTGGTAACTTGGAGAAGAGTGCCAAGTCACTGACTATTGGTTTATCTTAAAGCAACCATTTCTCTTAGTAAATTTCAACTGATTTTGGTTACTAAAATTTGGGCTACTTAAGGAACACATACAATTTGTATAGTGAAATAACTGCATATTACTTTATATTCCTTCACCAATACCAGTTCTTGTGCTATATGCTGGAGATTAATAGGTTCATAAGACATAGTCTTTTCCTTCAGTGAGCTTAGAGAGAGGTAAAAATTATAACATTGTGTATATAGTGCTGTGTTGGAGGCATGCAAGGATAGGATGGAACAAAATCAGAGAGATGAGAGGGTTCCCAAGGTTGAGGAACAGGCTTGTACATATGGGTATCTACGGGCGTATGATACATTTGGGGAACTACAAGTTGTTAGGGTTGACTAAAGGAGAATGAATTAGATGAAACTAAAAGAATAGGCATGGTTCCGATAGTAACCTGGAGTTTGAGCTTTATTCTGAAAACCCAGTGGAACCATTGAAACTTTTAAGTGAGGGTATGATAATTTTTTTTTAAATCAGCTTGACTAGAGAAGGTTGTGAGTAAATCTTCTCAGCTGGGGCCTGGTCATAGCAATGAAAATGAGAGAGAATAGATGTTGAGGGTAGAAGGATTTGGGTATGAGTAAGAAGTATGATTTACCAGGTTTTTGGCTTGATTGCCTAATGAGTGATAATGCCAATTAGAGAATATTAGGTAGAATAGGTTTGGAGGTAGAAGTGAGGTGTATTCAGGTTAAGACATAATTTGAGTGATGAAGATAAAAACTTTCTCCCCCTACATCTGGAGCTTAGTGGCTAGAGCAATGCCTGGCATATAGTAGGTGCTCAGTAAATGTTTAATCAATGAATGAAAGGTATAGTATGTGGAAATAGCTGGTATTTTTAAGTCTTAAGTAATATTTAAGTCTTAAGTACAGCAGAGTGATTTGTTTAATTAAATCAACTAAATAGTCGCATAGGTTTTTAAACCTGTCTAAACTCCATATGCTTGTTGAACATGATGGTTAATATACCTGTATGAATGTCGAATATGCTCATCCTTTTTTGATACTTGTCGGAATGTCATTGTGTTAATAGGGTACTGCCCCTGTACTGCCAGTATTTTGTCACACAGTGACCTATGTATATAAGTAAGCTTACTTAAATGTTACATTATTAAATAAGCTTAATGGTATTACAGATTATTATAATAGTTAAGACTTATATTGATGACTCTGAGTTATCAAGAAAAGGTATCATGCTGAGATAGGGAAATATTTGGTCAAGAATCATAAGTATGCTTAAGTTTTATTACTTAAAAAGATAGATTTTTAATGGTGAATTTCCTTTGTTCATCAACTCTGATAGTTGAGGAATGGTCACATCACCCCTTCTTTCATTGTTTCCCTCATTCACTCCTTTCTCTAAAGCAAGGTAATGCCTCAGATCTTTGTTATTCCCTTTCATAGAGGAGAGCTGATCATCTATATAATGATTATTAGTCTACAGGTGGGGAAAACATGAAAGGAAGGTTGAATAAAAGGGGTTTTTAAAGGGTTGTGTTTAATTAAAAGCTGGCTGATATTCTGATTATCATCATTATGACTCAGTTCTCTCACATTTAGACAATATTATTTAATCCACCAGTCTCTCCTGATAGTATGTATTCTTTCTTTTTTTTTTGCTCTATGTCTGCTCTCAGGTTGTTTTTGTGGAAAGAACCAAATAGGTAAAGTTTAAAGAAATATAGGAAGTCATTTAAGTTGGATCCACTATTGAAAGAGGACAGAAATCTTTAATTAGGAATGTCCAGTCTGAGTTGGAATATTATGTTTACATTGCAAATTGTGGAAGGTGGTCAGAAGGAATCCAAGAATATATCATACTAAGATCCAGGGACCAGAGTAATTTTGTATAATAACTGTTATAATTAATAATTGTTTTTCTGAAGTTATTTTGTTTTGAAAACTATAAATTATGTTTTACAGTATGCACTGAAGAAACCATATGGCGTTCTATATAAAAAGTAAGTCATGATCTTTTTTTTTTTTTTTTTTTAAAGATTTATTTATTTATTTATTTATTTATACAAGCACTGGGCACAGTCAGAAGTGCGGGAGGGTGAGAGAATTCACCAGAGCCAGAGAGGGGAGCAGAGCAGGCAGAAGGACCGAAGTACACTGCTGAGGGGAGCAGCGGGCGGCAGGAAAGGTCTGCGCGCCATGCGGGACCCTCCTCCAGTGGCCGGGGAGCAACCAGGGATCGAACTGGCACTGCAGAGGCTGCAGGCAGCTTCGCGACCCAGCGGTCAACCGCTGCGCCACCGGGGAGGCCCAAGTCATGATCTTTTACTTTTTATTGTTATAAATAAACAACACTTGACAAACAACTACTTCATGGAAGATTTATAAAAATATTTTTTTAAAAAAACACTACTTACATATAGTTGATAGTAGTTTTTTTTTTTTAAGATTTATTTATTTATGCATACAAGAACTGGGGTACAGGCTAGAGATGCAGGGGGTGAAGGATTCACCAGAGACAGAGTGGAGAACAGAACAGGCAGACTGACTGAAATACACTGCTGAGGGGAGCAGCGGGTAAGACAGGAGAGGTCTGCTGTGCCATGTGGGTTGCTCCCTGGCGGGCTGGGTATCAAACTAGTGCTGCAGAGGCTGCGGATTGCTTCGTAGTGCCGTGTTCAACCCCTTGCACCACCAGGGAGGTCCAGTTGATAGTAGTTTTTAATGAATTTCTTCCCAATCATTTTTACTTTAGTGTTGATTATTCTTTCATAGTTGAAATCAAACCACATATATATATCATTTTGAAATAATTAGACTTACAGAAAAGTTGCAAAAATTCTAGCATTCCCATGCACCTTTTCCCTCAGCTTCTTTTAATGTTATTTCTTGCATAAACATACTATAGTTATCAAAAATAAGAAATTGACATTGGTGCAGTGTTAACCAAATAACAGGCTTGATTTGGTTTCAAGTTTTTCTACTAATACCCTTTTTCTCTTCCAGGATACCACATTGCATTTAGTTATCGTATCTGCTTAGTTTCCTCCAATTTATTACAGTTCTCAAATCTTTCCTTGACACTTTTGATGAACGCTTGTCAATCATTTTGTAAAATATCCCTCAATTTGTATTTGTATTAAGTTTCTCATAACTAGAATGAGGCTATGCATTTTTGGCAAGAGTACCACAAAAATGATATGCTTTTCTTAATAAGTCATGCTAGGGGGTATCTGTGTTTTATATATTAACTACTTGGATGAAGGGATGTCTGCTGGGTTTCTTCATGATGAAGCTACTGTTTTTCCTTTTGCAATTAATGAATATTTAGAGGAGATACTTTGAGACTGCAAAAAAAATCTTTCTCCTCAAACATTTGCTTATTAATTTTAGCATCCATTGATGTATTTTGTCTGTTATAATGATGACTGTAGTTTTCTTTTTCCTCATTCTTTCTACATTTATTAACTGGAATTCTGTAAGGAAAATTCTGTCCTCTATTTGTTTAATGACATATCATTGAGGACTTATGGATATTCTATCCTTTTGGGTAGTAATCTAATGCTATCATTTAGTTTGTTGTATGAATTGTTTTACCTTTAGCCATTGGAAGGAATATATCAGTGACTCCTGTGCCCTTTCAGTGTGTCCCCTTTCTGGTACCACAGGGTGTTCCAGCCTCATCTTGTATTTTTCCTTCCCACACCCCTGGAATCAACCAGTTCTCCGTAGAACCCTGGTTCCATGTACTGGAAATTGATAGTTTGGAAACAAAAATCTAGGCACTAAGTATGCTCAGTTGCTAGTAAAGTATCATTGTTTCTAGTTTCTACAGGAAGAGCTTGACATTGCGTATTATGTACATCAACCCAGACATACGTGAATATCTGTATTTATCTCTGTACTTAAAAACCTTGAGTTCATATTGATACTTCTATAAGATGAGTTTAGACTTGTGGTTCCAATTCCAGCCTTTTTCTTTTCCTTCTTTGTAATTTCTTTATTCTGATAGTAAGAAACCTGGCTTTCATAATTTACAATATATTTACTTATTGAATATTTCTGGTTTCATCATTTCAGAATTTCTATCCTGTAAAAGACAGGTTTACTAATTAGAGTACAGTGGTTTTGGATGAGTTACTTATTAAGGTTATTAAAATTAGGGTTTTTTTTTTTACTATCTTAGGAAAAATATCACAAGACCATTTGAGGATCAGACCTCATTGGTGAGTACAAAAATAGTTTTGATGTAAGAGAGCATAGAAGTGATTATTCAGACTAATTTATGACTTTTTTTAAATTGGAAATCATTCTACATGAGGGAATGATGTAAAATGGAGGGATGTATGATGCTTTTGAGAATTATGTAAAATTTTTTTAATCAGTATTTACTGTTAAAATGCTAAGTATTTTTATGTACATCATTTCATTTAATCTTCAACAGAGTTTATGCCTTTTGGGTACTAAAATTTCATTTCAAGCAAAATCATTTTATAAGCAGTTTTATATAAGTATATATAATATATTCACTGCACACACACACTAACTTCCATAAGGTAATACACATATTTTTTGTACTTCCAAATGTATTGTCTTTATTTTTTATTTATTTTTTTTTTTATAGAGGCATGCTTTATTTATTTGTTTGCTGGTTTGTTTGTTTGTTTTGTTTATACATGCACTGGGTACAGTCAGAAGCGCGGGAGGGCGAGAGAATTCACCAGAGCCAAAGCGGGGAGCAGAGCAGGCAGAAGGACCGAAGCACACTGCTGAGGGGAGCAGCGGGCGGCAGGAGAGGTCTGCGGCCATGTGGGACCCTCCTCTGGTGGCCGGGGAGCAGCCGGGGATCGAACCGGCGCCGCAGAGGTCGCGTGCAGCTTCGCAACCCAGCGCTCAACCGCTGCGCCACCGGGGAGGCCCTGTCTTTATTTTTTTTTGGACATAACATTGGATTATAACATTACATATTTCAGATGGGCATCTTTGAAATTCAAGATATATACGTACTACATTAAGTTTACCACTAAAAGCCCAATTCTATCCTTCACCATATAGTTGACCCCTTTTATCTGATTTACCCACCCTTCCCCTCTAGATAACTTTTTTTATACTTTTCAAAGTATGACTTTCTTACATTTCACTCTGACCAGTATGCATTAGTCACTGTTTAGAAGTAGAAACTTAAAAAATTAAAATTACATTTTAAGTGCATAATTAATGAGTTTTCAAGTTCTCATGAAAGTTTGGGATCTACTTTTATAAAGTAGATTTTATTTAAAAATCTGACATTTTTTGAATATTTTTATTTTAATTTTTTAAAAGATTTATTTATTTGTGCACACAAGAACTGGGGTGTAAGCCAAAGTTGGGGGGTGGGGTGAGAGGATTCACCAGAGAGTGGAAAGCAGAACAGGCAGACTGACTGAAATACACTGCTGAGGGGAGCAGTGGGCGAGACAGGAGAGGTCTGCCTCACCATTTGGGTAGCTCCTGCTGAATTGAACTCATGCTGCAGTGGCTGGCGCTAGCTTGACAGCACTGTCTTTAACCCCTGCGCATCAGAGAGGCCCTTTTTTGGATATTTTTAAAACGGAATACTCCCTAAATTATTGCTAACAATTGTCAGTTCCTTTACTAGAACTAATCAAATTTCTGTTTGAATGTCTTGGCAATCAAAACTAAATTCAAAATGCTAGTGAATAAAATCAGAATGATGAAGTCAACTTTTGTGTGTTTGACACATTTCTTTTTTTATTGAGGTGATGTTAGCATACATCTTTGTTTGTGTCTGAGAAGTGTAGGGACCCCCCCCTGCCCTCTTTCAGGCATTGTCAGAGTGCACCCACTACCAAAACACCAGCTGTCTACTGCCATGGTCCACTGCACTCCCTCTCCGCTTTGTTTTCGCCCTCCCCGCGGCCCCATACTGTTTTATTTCTAAAGAAAATCTTTAGGGAATAAAAGGTTTAAACTATTTAAATTGACCTTAAAAAAATCAGAATGTGATTATGTTCTCTTTATAAAACACCATTGCTTTTTCTTTTAGTTTGTGTATTTAAAAGAGAACTTTTGGAAAAAAAAAAAAGATTTACTTATTTGTTAAAAGATTTATTTATTTATGCATACAAGGACTAAGGTACAGGCCAGAGGTGTAGGGGTGAGAGGATTCACCAGAGACAGAGTGGGGAACAGAACAGGCAGATTGACTGAAATACACTGCTCAGGGGAGCAGCAGGTGAGTCAGGAGAGGTCTGCTGCGCCATGTGGGTCACCTCCCTGGCCAGGGATTGAACTTATGCTCCAGTGGCTGTGGATTGCCTCATAGTTCTGCTTCTTGACCCATTGAGCCACCAGGGAGGCCCTAAAGATTTATTTATTTATGCATGCAAGAGCTGGGGTGCAGGCCAGAGATGGGGGGTGTGGGGGGAAGGATTCACCAGAGCCTGGAAAGCAGAACAGGCAGATGTAGTGAAATACACTGCTGAGGGGAGCAGCAGGCAAGACAGGAGAGGTCTGCTGCGCCATGTGGGTTAGTTCTGCCAATAACTTCATAGTGCTGAATCTTAACCCCCTTGTACCAACAGGGAGGCCCTAAAAGATAGAACTTTTTTTTTTTTTTAAAAGATTTATTTATTTATTTATTTATACAAGCACTGGGTACAGTCAGAAGGGCGGGAAGGTGAGAGAGTTCACCAAGCCAGAGCAGGGAACAGAACAGGCAGACTGATGAAATATACTACTGTAAAAGACAGAACTTTTGAATAGTATTACAATAATTAATTAGAAGACTAAAATTGAACATCTTATCCTGATGTGACAACTAACTTTAATGAAAATTAAAATATTATGGAAAATACTGGCAAATAAATACTCAGTTTTTTTACAAAATTACTTTCATTGCAGTGTTGAGTTTTTTAGTCAACATGTTGACTAGATCATGAAAGTAAAACTATATAGGGTTTAGCCCAGAATTCTCTCTTCCATATACTTTGTATCAAGGACTGGTTTTGTTTTGTGGCACCAGGGTGCTTTTAGTTGCATGACCATTTTGTAGCAGTGTTAGGTTGTAAGACATGTAGCATTCTGTAGTTTCTTTCAATTTAGTGTTGATATGATAGCTTATCTTACACTTCAAATTGTGACATTCCCTGTCTTTGATCTCCTATCTCCTGAGATGGGAGATATTTTATTGCTATAATAAATTGCAGACTTTTAGAGCTAACCATGGGAATAATAGTCATGTTGGAAATGTAGTTGAATTCTCCCTCCTGATCTCCAATCCTTCACCCACCACGTCATACATTTTTACACTATAATTTTGGACCTATGCTTTGGAGTAAGACAAATACATTTTAAAAGAGGTTTTATAAAAAGCATATAGAAGTTTAAAATACTTACATTTAGCATTTGCAGGTAATTTTACTACTTTTGCTCTAGAATTTTAATAGCTACAAAGCAGACTTTATGGAGAATAAAAACAGATATGACTGTTGTATATGTATCGGGTATTTTATAGGAAACTTTAGGATGAAACAAAGCATGAAAATACGTTCTTAAAAACATTTAAGAAAGCATTTTTATTAAACTGGATTTTTAAAAAATATTTTTTGAACAACCAGTTTTGTGCCAAAGTTTAAGGTACTTTGCCAAATGACATCTTGAGTAGCCCTTACAGATTTTTGTAGGTCTGTGATTTATTGTCTGTGATTTACACATGATAAAACTAATTATCAGAAAGGTTGATAAGGCCAGTTCCCATAGGAAACGTCAGAGACTTTTGGACTTTGTATCATTTACTTAGGAATCAGCAAGCGGGTAGCTGTTTGCCCCATTTGCTTCTGCTTAGGCACTGGAATGTATGATAACAAAACTAGAGAGCTATGGGAAGTCTTAATACCAATAAAGAAAAGTTGAGGATTATGGTTGTTTCATCAGTTCTTTAATTTTTTTGTTACTCTTTTAGGAAGTATTTACAACTAGAACTAGACTAGAATACATAGAGTCTAATTTTTGTGCTGAGATTGGGACTCTTAATAAATCGAATCATACTGCATAGGATGATAAGAGGACAGGCATCAATGTATTACAAGCTTTCCAGGGGGTGGGAACCCTGTGTATGTGTTTCCACTCTCAAATCTGTCATGGAAATCAATACTTTGGAGAGCCAGAAGGAGAAGAGTTCATAGACTTGTAATTCTTGTTGTGCATGTAAGTATGGAACAAGCCATACCTGGATGGAATGGAGATTTTTTAGGGTAAGCTGAAGTTTGCAGTGGAAAGTAGTTGACATGTATTCTAACTTGTATTGAGTTGTATTGCATGCTAAGATACAACATGTATTGCATGCTAAGATATATCACTGATGATAATAGTGGTGTCCCATGAATAAAAGCATTTGTTCAGCAGATGAAATACTTTTGATGTGCTATTCACCAACATAATGCATAGCTGAAAATAAATGGTTTCATTTTATTTGTTAACTTAATAGTTTTCATATATTTTTTAGTCTTTAACTTATATCTTTTCCTGAGATGCCCCAAATCAGAAAATTTGAAATAAACTAGAAAAAAAGTCCTTTTCTTCTGTTTATTCCTAAGTCTTCATTAGCTTCCACCAGAAAAAAACCTAGTATACTTTTAGTACAGAGGTACAGTTTTTTTTTATAGGAAGTAATGAATGTTAACTAACTTTATTGTGGTAATCATTTTTTTAAAGATTTTATTTATTTTTGCATAGAAGAACTGGGGTATAGGACAGAGGTATGGGGGGTGAGGGGATTCACTGGAGACAGAGTGGGGAGCAGAGCAGGTGAATTTACTGAAATACACTGCTTGAGGGGAACAGCAGGCGAGACAGGAGAGGTCTGCTGTGCCATGTGGGTTAGCTCCCTGGCCAGGGATCAAACCCAGGCCACATTGGTGATAGTATGATAGCACTGAGACTCAACCCCTGTGCCACCAGGAATACCCAAGAGATACAATTCTTAAGGGTTTTTAGATTTCTGCATTAATTGAATGGGATTTCTGTGGTTTTACAGGAATTCTTTTCAAAGAAGTCAGATTGTTCTTTATTCATGTTTGGTTCCCACAATAAGAAGCGGCCAAATAATCTAGTAATAGGTAAGTACTGCATACCTTTTAATGTTTTTATTTATAGTGTCAGCTCTGTTACTCAGATTACTTGATGGTGTTGAGTATTCCAAGAGTAACCAGTAAACTGTAAACTGGCATCTTTATTTTTCTTGTGAATTTGAATTTTAAAAATAATTTTTTTTTTATCAAGGACAAATATTTATTTCCTTGTGTGAATAGCTTTTTATCTACCAGCCTCCAGGTAAAGAATGACATGTAAATGTTACCTTGTCTCAAGTTGTAGATATTATCTAATATAAAACATGTATTCCTAAATTAGAATTAGTTATAAACAAACAAATCAGCATACCTACCCACATAAATTAGCCTTCCTTAATAAATATATTCAGAAATGAACTGTTACCTGGTTATATTGAGACTTGCTGTGGCATTCCCTGACGTAGGCAAACTCTTTATTGTTTGTGGGTCTTTATGTACTCTTGTATCAAATAAGAGAGTTTGGCTAAATGATCTGTAAGATCCTTTCTGGAGTAATCTGTTTTATATAGAGTTGAAAATTTAAGGAGGGGGCACATTTAGAGGTTAAAAGAAGAGCGTAAAGAAGCAGATACTAGGACACTTTGAACATGTAAATAAGTTAGTACATGTAAGGTCACTGGGAAAAATACATGTTTAAAAATAAATGTTTAAATAAATGCTTTCTTCTAGGTCGTATGTATGACTACCATGTGCTGGATATGATTGAATTAGGTATTGAGAAGTTTGTCTCTCTGAAAGACATTAAGGTAAGATACTGATTGATCCTAAAAATAAAAAGCACTATGTAATGTTGTTAACAATAGTGACATCTTGTGGAGAAACTGTACTGATACAGTTTTATAGTTTGAATAAGAGGGAACTTTGTTTTTCAGTTTAGTGTGCTCTAAAATAAAAGCACAGTTTCATTTTACCTTTACTTTAAAAAGTGTATATGTGCGTATTTGTAGTATATAGCACATATATTGAATTAGACTTCAGGCTAATTATTAACTTTTGTCTGGGACCATAGTTTAAATACTATTTCCTTACTCTGAATTATCATAGTCCCTATTTTTTTGGAACCTCAGAAATGCTAGAATTTTCAAAGTGAGCACTTTTTTAAACATAAGAAGTCTTGACTTACATTATTTTGACTGAAACCATCAATTGCCAGCTTAATCTTCTACTTAATGATTTCTATCTTTGTATCTCCTTTATTTGAATGAAATTGTAACATAGAAAGTAGTAAGTAGTCTTAGAAAGGCAAGGAAATTGTCCTAATTCAGCTCCTGATTCCATATAGGACTTTTGCTCCCTCAGAACTATGCTCTGGCTTAATCTATTTCATCAAATACACTTTTTTATTTAGACTTCATAGCTGCTCTGCATATAAAATCTGAAGTATAGATTTAAAGATGGAGCTCCAGAGGAATTCCATTGATGACCTAGAGTTATGCATATACTAGATGAATAGTGTAAACAAGATTATTTCCCAAGGACTTTGTAAGAAAGTTTGTAATGGAAAATTATGTAACTGTTCTCCATTTATGTGTCTTTTGGACTTGTGGTATAGCTAAAAACTTACAGTGCATATATATAATCATGCCTTATCCCAGCTTTTCCCAAAAAAAAGGACATACCATCCAAGTTTCCTGTGGGATCTTACTTTAGTTGGCTATACAAACTTCCTAAAGTATAAGGAAGAGCAGAAGCCTGAGATTAGATTTAAAGATAAAACAGTTGGGTTTGTGACCTGTCTTGGGCATTTAGGTGACATTTGTAACCTGACAAGTCAATTATTTCCTTTATCCTCAATTGCTGTCAAATATTAGATAGGTATGGGGCCTTCCCAGTGGCGCAGCGGTTGAGCACTGGGTTGTAAAGCTACCTGCAGCCTCTGCAGTGCCGGTTCGATCCCTGGCCGCTGGGCGGGGACCCCACATGGTGCACAGACCTCTCCTGCCGCCCGCTGCTCCCCTCAGCAGTGTACTTTATCAGTCTGTTCTGCTCCCCACTCTGGCTCTGGTGAATCCTCTAACCCTCCCACGCTTCTGACTGTACCCAATGCTCGTATAAATAAATAAATGAATCTTTAAAAAATAAAATATTAGATAGGTATAACAACATCAAATGAAATAATATCTATGAAAATGCTTGTCAGTGAAGAAAATGTGTTGGAAAGTGTTTAGTAAAGTATATAAACTGGGGCCTCCTTGGTGGTGCAAGGGGTTAAGTCACAACACTATGAAGCTATCTGCAGCCACTGCAGTATGAGTTCAATTCCTGACCAGGGAGATGACCAACATGGTGCAGCAGACCTCTCCTGTCTCACCGGTTGCTCCCCTCAGCAGTGTATTTCAGTCAGTCTGCCTATTCTGTTCCCCACTTTGTCTCTGGTGAATCCTCTCACCCCCTGCACCTCTGGCCTGTACCCCAGTTCTTGTATGCATAAAGAAATCTTTTTTAAAAATTACTTATAAACTGATGCTTTATTACAGTGGAAGCATTTTATAGCAGTTTCTCTTTGGGGCTATGCATGAATCCCTGGAAATTTTACAGTATATTCCCATTTCACCTTTACCACTGCTGCTAATGTGATCACCAGTTAGTGGCCCTGAGCACTGGCTGATGTATATATGTCAAACCCTCCACTCATTTCCTTTTTTTCTTCTCTTTTTTTTTTAAAGATTTATTTGTGCATACAAGAACTGGGGTACAGGCCAGAGGTGCGGGGGGTGAGAAGATTCACCAGAGACAGAGTGGGGAGCAGAACAGGAGGATCCACTGAATACACTGCTGAGGGGAGCAGCAGGTGAGACAGGAGAGGTCTGCTGTGCCATGTGGGTTAGCTCCTTGGCTGGGGATCAAACTCGCTGCGGATAGCTTCATAGGTTGCATCTTAACCCCTTGCGCCACCAAGGAGGCCCTCCTCCACTCATTTTCACTTCCAAGGCAAAGAAATACTTCCGTCACTGGGCAACCTCAAAATAAAACCACTACTGTTTGTCAGATCTCAGAACAAAAACCATTCAACTTGAATACTGAATTTCTACTCATAGAGTATATCTGTAATTATACATTAATTTATGAGGATATGCTTACATCGGCAATTCCTATATAGACTATTAGGCAGTCATTCACTTTTTATTGCATTATTGCATGATAAATTTTTAGTTTGTTTGGAATTGGGTGTTTTGTTGCACTTTCCCTTTGTATTTTTACCACCTAATTTTTAAGACATCTTCCCCAGGTATTTCTTTCTCTCTTTTTTTAAATACAGATTTTTTTAAATTTATTTATGCATACAGGAACTGGGGTGTAGGCCAGAGGTATGGGGGGTGGGGGTGAGAGGATTCACCAGAAACAGAGTGGGGAGAAGAATGCAGAATAAATAGGCAGATACATTGAAATACACTGCTGAGGGTAGCAGTAGGTGGGGCAGGAGAGGTCTGCTGTGCCATGTAGATTAGCTCCCTGGCTGGGGCTTGAATTCATGCTGCAGTGGCTGGTGATAGCTTGATGGCCTGAGACTTTAATCCTTGCGCCACCAGGGGGTCCCCCAGGTATTTCTTTACTTACTTGCCTACTTTATTGCCAACACTTGTCCTTCTGGTAACTCTTAAGCAACAGGTGATTAGACTATACCAGGAAACTGATTATTCTAGGAGCCTATTTTTCTAGATAGTCAGACTGCTAAGAATGGCTATTTTGCATAAAATAAAACTTAATAAATGAGATTATTAAAATTTAAGGCTAGTTAATTTTATTTTGGATAGTGTAAAATGTATTGTAACTATTTGGGATACTATATTTGAAAAACTTCTGTATAATTTATAATTACTTTTTCCCCCTTGTTTAAAAAAAAAATCATAATTCAAAAGGTTAGTTTAAGAATCTCACATAATGGGCCTCCCCGGTGGCGCAGCGGTTGAGCGCTGGGTTGCGAAGCTGCCCGCGGCCTCTGCGGCGCCGGTTCGATCCCCGGCTGCTCCCCGGCCACCGGAGGAGGATCCCACATGGTGCGCAGACCTCTCCTGCCACCCGCTGCTCCCCTCAGCAGTGTACTTCAGCCCTTCTGCCTGCTCTGCTCCCCGCTCTGGCTCTGGTGAATTCTCTCACCCTCCCGCGCTTCTGACTGTACCCAGTGCATGTATAAACAAAACAAACAAATATAATAAATAAATAAATAAAAACATGCCTCTATAAAAAAAAAAAAAAAAAAGAATCTCACATAAGTATTTTATTGTTAGTATACTATATCATAGTATTTATGTAGTATCGTAGTATTTAGTGTCCTTCAACTTTTGAATAAAGGTCATTTGTTGTAGTTTCTTTAGTTCAGGATTTTCACATTGTGCAAAATACGTGTGACCCATCTAAATCTTAAGTACTATTTCACATAGCTTATTATATTTTTTGATGTATATACAGTATCATGACTTAAAATAGTTTTTTTTTAACTTTTTATCTTTTTTTAAGATTTATTTATTTATTTATACAAGCACTGGATACAGTCAGAAACACAGGAGGGTGAGAGAATTCACCAGAGCCAGAGCGGGGAACAGAACAGGCAGATCAGCTGAAATCCACTGCTGAGGGGAGCAATGGGCGGCAGGAGAGGTCTGCGCACCATGTGGGACCCTTTCCGTCGGCCGGGGATTGAACTGGCGCTGCAGAGGCTGCGGGCAGCTTCGCAGCCCAGCGCTCAACCACTGCACCACTAGGGAGGCCCTTAAAATAGTAGTTTTATTACTATGCATTATGGTTAGAATGGTTTGAAAGCCAAAGTTGTAATTGATGTTGCCTCACTTTCTCTGACTCACTGTATACTTAGTCTTCATGGACTTAGGGGTAGCAGAAATCCTTGAGTAGTCAGGCACAGATGGAATTTGAAAGAGTCATTGAGTCTGGAAGATTCATTCAGGCGCTGATCAGACAGACAGATATAAGGCACATCTCCTAAATATAAGCATGTAAGATTCAGGTTTGGAAGCAGAGAATGGTACCAAGAGTGGTCATGCAAACAGGAAAGCAACAAGTGATCTCTGATTCTAGGGCAGAGGTTGTTTGGTTTTGCTCCAGGAATTTTTTGTTTATTATTTTCCCCTCAATTTGGATAATCCTTGATTGATTTCAGAACAGAAGTAGTAGAATCAATGGAAAGGTCAGACTAACAATTATCCTTCCTCCATAAGTTTTCTTTCAGTTCAAACTTTTTTCCATTTGAGTTTTTCTTCTTTCACTGTTGTGGCTTTTAAAACTGTTTATTACTCACATCACATTCTTGGTATAGAAAATCCAGAAGTGGACAAAGTACTTCCTTGTAGTGAGAACTTCAACCCTGCCTAGTAAGGATTGCTCACTTGTATATAAAGTTCTACTTTCTATAGCATATGTAAAATTATATTGCTTCCCATGTGAACATCTAGTTTGAGTTAGCTTAAAGACACTTAGCTTAAAAACACTAATTATGAGTTTCAGAAGGAAAGGCATAGTGATACAAAATAAAATTAAATGTATTTAGATACTGGGATGCTGGCTCTTAGAGTGCTATATTTGTTTTGAAGCAAACTCAAGCTTTTTATTTTATACTTTGCTTAGAATAATGTTTAAAAGTAACTTATAGTGTTCTTTGACAACTTACTTGGCAATGTTAGGGAGGGGAATGAAATTTTACTTTTAGTATGAGTATTTGTATTTGTATTTTTAAATCAGTGTTGGCACACATAGTTTTAGAATACATAAGAAAATGTAAAATGAGTCTGTATATAAGGTATCAACTACTTTAAAATCAATGTATAGAACCTTGATATATAGAATTATAATTTTTTTTATATCATAGAATAGTAAATGTCCTGAGGGAACAAAACCCATGTTAATATTTGCTGGTGATGATTTTGATACAACAGAAGACTATAGAAGGTTAAAAAGTCTCCTTATTGGTAAGTATTTTAATACTTGTTATCTGCAGAGTGTCTCAGATAGACAATCTAATAAGACTGTCTGGTGGTACTTTGACACTTCACTGTATGTATATGACTTTTTAGTGAATCTGATTTTTCCCTTATTTTATTTCCCACTAACAGTAGCAGAGAATTAAGGGGATCATGTTTTTAATAGTTTTTTTTTTAATCTTAAAACATTTTTATAGTCGTGGCTTTGGTATATAACACATAGGTTTCAGGTGTACACCATTTATAAATCAACATCTGTCTATATTACTTGATGCTTGCTCACCCCCAAAAGCCTAATTTGACTACTTGTACCTGATATTTCCTCCATCCATTTCCCAACACCATTTTCTTCTGGCAACCATTGTTTTGTTCTTACAGTCCAAGAGTGTGTTTTTGTTTTGTTTTATCTGTTCATTTGTTTTATCTTCTACAATTGAGTGAAATCATGTATTGGGGCCTCGCTGGTGGCGCAGGGGTTAAAGCGCCAGCCATGAGCTAACCCACATGGCGCAGCAGACCTCCTGTCTCGCTTGCTGCTCCCCTCAGCAGTGTGTTTCAGTTGATCTGGCTGTTCTGCTCCCCTTTTTGCTTCTGATGAATTCTCTCCCCCGCCCCACCTCTGTCTTGCACCCCAGTTCTTATATGTATAAATAAATAAAAATAAATCTTTTTAAAAAATCATGTATTTGTCTTTCTCCATCTGACTTATTTCACTTAGTATACTATTGTCTAGGGCTATCCATGTTGTAATGGCAGAATTTCATCTTTCTTTTTTTTTTTTTTCCGATGAATAGTATTCCATTGTGTGTATACACCACATCTTTATCCAATCACCCACCAGTGGGCACTTAGGTTGTTTCCAACTCTTGTCTATTGTGACTAATGCTGCCACAAATGAGATGCATGTATGTCGTTTAATGCTATGCTAACTTTGGTATCAAACTATTTGTGTGTCATTTTACGCCTTTTCATTTTTATTTTTCATTTTTTTAAAGAGTTATTTATTTATTTATACAAGCACTGGGTACAGTCAGAAGTGCGGGAGGGTGAGAGACTTCACCAGAGCCAGAGCGGGGAACAGAACAGGCAGAGTGACAAAGTACACTGCTGAGGGGAGCAGCAGGTGGGCAGGAGAGGTCTGTGCGCCATGTGGGACCCTCGCCGGGCGGCTGGGAATCAAACCAGCGCTACAGAGGCTGCAGGCAGCTTTGCAGCCCAGCACTCAATCACTGCACCACCAGGGGAGGACCGATTTTACCTTTTTAAATGCTTGTAGTCTTCTGACATTAAATTTATACCAAGAGAGTATGAAAACATTAGGAAAAGATTTATGTACTTACTACACAGCCCCAGTATCACTGTAAACATACTCTAATGAAATTTTTCTCTGTCCCTTTCTGCCAGACTCTTGGCACCTGCTGTATATTGTACTTGTCTATTTATTTTTGGGGGCTTACTGACTTTCTTCTGATGCAATTTAGTTGCAGTTGGTGAACCCAGTGTCTTTACTGAACTCCCAATAACTTGCTTTCTTAATCTCCCTTAATTTTCTTCCTCTTATTTCCTTAAATAAGTAGTTTATTGAAAAAATATTATGCACATTCCTGTTGTTTTACTGATTTCATTCATTCTCTGTTTCTTTCATTCTTGCAAATATCAGGTTAAGTTTTTTTTTTCCCCCCAGGAAATCCACGGTGATGACTCGGGCTCTTTTTGTTTTATTATCATTGTCATCCTAGGTTCCAAGCATATGCTAGGTTCGTCATACTGATTGTTCCATTCTCACGATAACCTTGTCAATTTGTCTTATAGGTGACGCATTCTTAGTGAACTATGCTATTTACTAATGATTTATGTAATGATTCCACCTTTTCCTTTGTGTTCACACTTTCCCTTAAAATCCATTATACAGTTATTACTATTGTCAGAGATTGACATTATGTTTAACAATCTTAAAACACTTTCTCTTTTTGGAAATTGGCATTATTCATCTCTATGATTTTTTAAAAGGTTACTATTACTTAATATTCTGTTGTCACATCTTTTTTAGCTCTTGAAAGATTTATTTTGTCCTTAAATGTCTGAATTCTTCTGATACTGAGTAGCATTTTCTCAAATTTATGTAATTTATTCCACTTGAGCTTTTTCACTTGCACCATTTTTATAAGTTATGCCACATGCTTTTTTTTTTTTTTCTCTTCTTTTGACTTTTTATATCCTTTGCCCTAGATGTATTTTTTTTCCAACCACTTCTTTTTTATTGAGGTCACATAAGTTACCACACTGCATATGACTCAGAAGGGTTGCACCACTTCAGACTATGTTACTACACTACACCCACCACCAAAGTACCCATAATCCTCCACCACCATCCTTTGCCCTACTGACTTTCAAAAACTTGGTGGGGTGTATATAATAAATAAATTGTATATATGTTCTTTATAAATCTGAACTGAGCAAAAAAGGTTTATTCATTTTTCCATATTGGGCTAATTTATCATCTTACTGTTGGGATTACAATATTTACAACCTCTCTTTTCTCTTACTAAATGGCTATTAAAAAAAAAGAGTACCAGTAGTAGCTGTTTAATTCCTACTAAAGGTCTTGCGTTTGGTGATATTCCATTCTACAGATAGGAAAATGGTGGCTTAGAGAGGTTAAGAGCTGTAAAGTAGGTGAACTAGAATCAGAATCCAAAGCCTGAACTTTCTGCCAGTGCTGTCTGTCTTGGCTATGGTGAACAATTCCCTTGCAAAGTCTTTGCTGTACCTTCCAATTTGTATTTTTATGAATTAAAAAAAAATCACATATGAAACACAATGACTAATAATATTTCCTTTCAATATTACACACCCCAAAACATAAAGGGTGTTTTTCCAGCCAAGTTTTCTATTACTTGTATTCCACTGACCCATATTTTTAACTTCTCACCCCTGGTTTTTCTGTATGATTATTGTTAGTGAGAGAGGCACTTAGAATTTGTTGTAACAGAGTGAGCTTTTTGTTTGTTTTTGTCTAAGTGGTTTGTATTAAAACTTTCTTTTTATGTCATGCTTCCACTAGATGGCAGGAATGACCACATAATGCAGTGATGTGAGAAGAGTGAAACCCAAAAAGGAATATGGGGACAGAGGAGAGAAAGGAATAGAATGAGATAATAGGGCACTAAGGGAAGTTGTCTTTGATATATATTGTAAATATAAAGTTAGACAGCTGTAGGCTTCTTGGTTTATGTTGTGTGTTCAAATGTAATAAAGTAGAGAATAGTAGGGAGAGAGAATTTTATCAAGGGAATCCTCTCTTGCAGAAAGTTTTTTTTTCATTATCCATAAAGAAAAATTAACTTCCTTAACGCCAGTATTTTCATGCTAGATATCTATTTTGTGTTGTTTTTTTTTTTTAATTTTGCTTTTTGTGTTTTCTTAAATATTCTATAAAATTGTAGTTAATCTTAGTGGGTCCTGCTTTTCTTTCTAAAAAACCATAAGTATCTGCTTTTAGATTTAGCCAATCCTAATTTTTATGGTTACATTTTTATATGACTACTCCTTGTTTATTAAGATAACAATAAAACTGATAACGTAATAGGTTAATTTTATTGAATATTCCTTTAAGGCCTACCTAAAATTTTAACAACCTGAGTAATTTTTCTCCATTGCTTTTATCTACATAAATGTTTATATTTGTATAAGTGGTCATTGTTTTAATCTTTTTTACTTCCTAATTCTTATTCTATTCGAGCAGTGTGGAATGAAAATAACTGCCATAGGTTAAGTCATGTAGTTAAATTTAATCCTTTCTACAGCTCTACAAAAGTAATTATGTTAGTCTGCTCAGGTTGCCATAACAAAATCCTTAACAACAGAAATTTATTTTCTCACCGTTTTGGTGACTATACGGCCTCAAAATTTCCCTTTTTACCTCAGCCATCGTTCCTGTTCACTTTAGAGTCAGTCTTTTTGGCAGTGTTCTGAGTATCAACACATTTTAGTCCATCACCCCTTTGATATTGCAGGCTCTTCTTGTATTTTCATTGCCCTAATCCTGGAATCAGGACCCTTAGGGTTGTTGTTTTAAGTGGGGAATTGTTTTGGAAATCACATTCTGGGTACTAGGGATTTATTGTTTCTAGGCTGTTTTATGAACTATGAAATTTGTTTAAGATAAAATATATCCTTTGTTTTTATATTGAATTTTTAATTCATATTTAAGACAAAAGAAATTTCACTTTATTGACCTCATATCTATATCTTCTTTCTTCCATGACAAAAATCTGTATTCTCTGATTCCCAGAGTAATTATGCATTTACTTTACACTGTATTATACATGCAAGTGTACAATAAAATACCAGTATTATTACTGTTAATGTGATATTGATTGCAATTAATGCTTTTGGGTTTTTTCTTTGTTTTATATTTTTGTTTGTCTATAAGATATATCCTGTTAGGTGCATATAATTGAATTGCTGTGTTTTGAAGTCACTTGAAATAGTTTTTTTTTTTCTGTATAATTATGCCTCCTACTTACTTCACAGTTTCATTTTATTTTCAATTTTTAGGGATTACTTTAATTTTTTTGACTTTTAATTATTTAAAATGTTGAGATAAACTTTGCATACAATCACTTGCACATATTTGAGGTTTTAAAATTTGATGCTTTTTGATATATGTATACACCTGTGAAAACATTATTACAATCAAGATACAGAACGTTTTCACCATCCCCTCAAAATGTCCCCGTGTCCTTTTGTAATCTGTCCTTTTTTCTGTATTGTAAGCAAACTTTGATCTGCTTCCTGTCATTGTAGATTAGTTTGCACTTCTTCGACTTTTAGATAAATGCAATCATGCAGTATATAATTTCTTGGCCTGGCTTCTTTCATTCAATTTAAAAGTCATTCATGTTGTGTGTATCAGTAGTTATTCCTTTTTGTTGCCACGTAGTATTCCATTTATAGCAACTATTTCACAATTTATTTAGCTCTTCAGTTGTTGATGGATATTTAGGTTGATTACAGCTCTTGACTATTATCAGTAGATCTGCTATGAACATTATATATAAATTTTCCTGGAGACATGTTTTCATTTCTTTTGGGTAAACAGAACTGAAAGCATATGGAATGGACTGAAATGGTTGGCGCATTTAAATAATGTGTCTGTAACATTTTAAGAAACTGTCAAAGTGTTCTGCAATGTGGTAAAATTACCATTTTACATTCCCACCAATGGTTGCCGCATCTCTTTTGGTAGACCATTCTTTATAATTATAGTTATTGTAAGGGGTGTTGTATACTAATGGTAATGTATATCCAAAGTCATATATACAAAATAAAGGAGTGGTATTGTTGCTGTCTTAAGGCGCAGACATTTTTAATTTTTGTGAAGTCTATTATGTCCTTTTTTCCCCCTTAATGGTATATTATTACTGTGTTTTGTTTAAGATACTTCTGCCTATTCCAAGGTTACAAAGACTATTTCTCTCATGTTTTCTTGAAGTATCACAGTTTTGATTATTCATTTTGGCTTATGATCTATTTTAAGTTAATATTTGGGGGTCTCCCCTGGTGGTGCAGCAGTTGAACGCTAGGCTGCGAAGCTGCCCGCAGCCTCTGCAGCACCAGTTCGATCCCCAGCCTCTGGCAAGGGTCCCACATGGCGCACAGACCTCTACTGCCGTGCCTGCTGCTCCCCTTAGCAGTGTACTTTGTCATTCTGCCTGTTCTGTTCCCTGCTCTGCTCTGGTGAATTCTCTCACCCTCCCGCGCTTCTGACTGTACCCGGTGCTTGTATAAATAAATAAATAAATAAATAAATCTTAAAAAAAAAAGATTTATTAAAAAAAGTTAATATTTGGGTAAGGTGTGAGATAAGGGTCACTGCTTTCAAAACTGTCTCCTCTCATTTCATTCTTAAAAACTTATGGGAAAAGCGTGGCTTCCCTGGTGGCCTAGTGGTTAAGTCTCCATGCTGTCACTGCTGTGGCCTGAGTTCAATTCCTGGACAGGGAGCTAACCCACATATGGATCGGCGACCTCTCCTGTCTCTCCTGCTAACCCCCTTGGCAATGTATTTCAGTGGATCTGTCTGTTCAGCTCCCCACTCTGTCTCTGGTAAATCCTCTCACCCCCTGCACCTCTGGCCTATACCCCAGTTCTTCTACAAAATAAATCAATTTTAAAAAATAATAATAAAGAAAACTTATGGGACAAGCACATTTCCTTAGAAAATTCTGCATTATAAAAGCCAATTCAGGGCCTCCCCCGTGGCACAGCGGTTGAGCGCTGGGTTGCGAAGCTGCCCGCAGTCTCTGCAGCACCAGCTCGATCCCCGGCTGCTCCCCGGCCACCAGAGGAGGGTCCCGCATGGCGCGCAGACCTCTCCTGCTGCCCGCTGCTCCCCTCAGCAGTGTACTTCGGTCCTTCTGCCTCCTCTGCTCCCCGCTCTGGCTCTGGTGAATTCTCTCACCCTCCTGCGCTTCTGACTGTACCCAGTGCTTGTATAAATAAATAAAGAAATCTTTAAAAAAAAAAAAAAAAAAAAAAGCCAATTCAGGAGAGACTGAAATGTTTCTCATACCCCAGAATTTTTTTTAAAGATTTGTTTATTCATTTTTGTGTAGAAGAACTGGGGTATATACCAGAGATGCAGGATGTGAGAGGATTCACCAGAGACAGAGTGGGGAGCAGAACAGGTGGATTTACTGAAATACACTGCTGAGGGGCGCAGCAGGCAAGACAGGAAAGGTCTGCTCCGCCATATGTGGGTTAGCACCCTGGCCAGGATCGAATTTAGGCCATAGCAGTGATAATGCTGAGACTTAACCCTTAGGCCACCAGGGAGGCCCCCAGAATTATTCTTGACTGCAATAATGCTACTGCAACAATGAGGGGGCTTTATTTTATAACTTTATTTTATAACTTGAAGTTATTTTATAACTTCACTGAAGAGAAGTTAGGTTTTGGCAGAATCATGGGAAAGCTCTTCATTAATTATCAAAATTTAGATCATATACCTTGAAAAAGTTGATATGGTTTGGTTTATAAAAATGGCCTTGAGGGTTTTTGTTTGTGGACATAAGGTGTAGGGGAGGGGGCTATATACATGTACATGCACACTTGTCTTTGTTTTATACACATTAGTGCCCTGATTTTATTTCAGTTAATGACATGAAAGGAAAAGCGAACAAAATGCACATATGTTCATATATCTATCTGAAGATAATTCCCATCGTATAAGCTAATGGAAGGGGAAGAAATCTCAGAATGATGTTTCCTGTTTATTATATCTCCAGCCTTTGGGCAGTTCTTTCTAAGTAATTAAGTGAGATGAACTTTTATGTATAATTGTATAATATTTTCTTAGTTAAATCTTTTTCATGTATACCCATTTAACCTTCTTTGGGTTCAGTTTCCATAGTTATAAAATGAGGGGATCAAATTCGTTGTTGGTCTTTCATTTATGAGCTACCCTCACAACATTAGCCAAGTTAGATTCTAATGTCCATAGTGTTGTTCAGTGGAGATTTTTCTTCTAGTTGACTGCTGTTTTGAAAAGGAAACTTTATGTCCCTGCCAAAAATGAAAAATGATATATGATTAAATAAATAATACATGATTTATATCTGCTTGTATATCGTTCAAAGTCATCTCATGTGTCACCATAACATGATAACTACACCACAGGAAAACAGCCTACTCATTGACCTCAGTGGTTGTGTTCTGGCTTTAATAATTTATTGTTTTGTTTTTCTCTTTGCTCATATAATTGAGATTTCTTGTTAGAATTTTCATGCTTATTGCTTCCCTGCCCACAATAAAACAAAGACTATTTTGGTTTTATAGTTGATAGTTGTAATTTGTAGACATTTTATGGATGTTTTAGTAATTTTCCAATCTTCTTGATTTAAATTTTATTCCTTAATTTACATTTAGAAAATTAATATCTGTGATAAATATGATGTGCGCCTATGCTAAGCATTGGTTTAGAGAGAGAACTTCAAAACTGAAAAATCTGGACCTCTCTGGTGGCCCAGCAGGTTAAGTCAGAGCACTTTGAAGCTATCTGCAGATCCCTGGCTAGGGAGTTAACCCACACAGTGCAGCAGACCTCTCCTGTCTTGCCCACTTCTCCCCTCAGCAGTGTATTTCAGTCATTCCACCTGTTCTGTTTCTCATTCTGTCTCTGGTGAATCCTCTCACCCCCTGCACCTCTGGCCCTGTACCCCAGTTCTTGTATGCATAAATAAATATGTTTAAAAAAAAACAACAACTGAAAAATCCCATGACTCAGGAAACTAAACACAAATAATATTGAGGTAAAACGGAAGCAGGGTGGCCCTTCTGATATTATTCAGGGATCAGTTTTGTGTTACCCATCTTTTTAGATGAGCATCTATACAAAACGGAGCGGCTTTTTAGAATCCGGCTATTTGTAACTGAATTTTAAAGTGTGTTAGTCTTTTTCTTTAGATTTCTTCAGAGGCCCCACAGTATCAAATATCCGCTTGGCTGGTTTAGAGTATGTTCTGCACTTCACTGCGCTGAATGGGAAGATTTACTTTCGAAGCTATAAGTAAGTGCATTTCTTAGCATGTTTTTTGTTAATCTTCAGGGTTAGCATTTTAGTGTGACTGTTTTATAGAGTTGGTGTCTGGCCAGAAGTTTGTTTTGGAGAATGTGCAGAATAGTAGTGGCAGCAGCTTTGTGCTGCTCCCCCAACCCTGTTATTCCTCATAGTAACTTCTGAACCCTGCTTTTCCAGGTCACCAGAGCATCTAATGCTCCACACTTTCTGAGCTTAGAACACTAATCAGTCTTGACCCTTCCTAGTTTTATACAGTAGTTCCTTATTTTTCTTGACTGATTTTAGAGCACCAATCACAGTTTTGCTAGACCAACCAAAGCAAATCTCAAAACCCAGTCTGAAAAATGGAGTCTGAAAGGAATAAGAAGATTCAATCACTAGATTACTTTTACTCTCCTGTCACGTCAGTCTCTACTTCTGCCTCTACCACAATATATATATATATATATATATATATATATATATATATATATATATATTAATCCTTACAAGCTGATTTTGTTTTCATTAAAAAACTTGATGACATCCTTCTAGAAGTGTGCTTTTTGAGGTAAGTGTGAATTTTTTTCTTTATAAAGTGTTGATGATAGCTGATCGGAGCCCACACTTTACTGGAGAATTCATTAACTCCCACAAACTACCTCTCTTTATATACTGAATTCAGACTGTTAGCCATGCTGAGCTTTTGATGCGACAGTGCAGCCCAAGAGCCAACAGCCCAGTGTCTTCTGGGCAGTAGTGCTGTTTGTGCAACCATTGTGGACTTCAGCATTACATCCATGGTTTTTAATTTTGTTTTTTTTCTTCACAATGAAATACATGGTTGACCAGCTTTTGTCCAGTGAACAGTTAAATAAAACTAAATATTCACCTCTCTGGTCAATAATTTCCGTCTCTGTCTCAACTATATTAAGTCAGAAATAATCAGTTCTTTCACCATGTGATTAGAACCAGAATTTGTTTTCCTCTTGTTTAAGCAATCTTAAGCAAAATACAATATCTACATGACTGCAAGATGTAATTTTAATAGTCATTTTAGGTAGTTGAACCCTGTTAGTCTGTTGTTTGACTTTCAAACTTGACATTGGTGTCTTTAAGAATGTATTATATTGGGGCCTCCCTGTTGGTGCAAGGTGTTAAGCACTGCACTATGAAGCAATCCACAGCCTCTGCAGCACGAGTTCGATCCTTGGCCGGCCAGGGAGCAACCACATGGTGAGGAAGACCTCTCCTGTCTCACCTGCTGCTCCCCTTAGCAGTGTATTTTGGTCAGTCTGCCTGTTCTGTTCCCCACTCTGTCTCTGGTGAATCCTCTCACCCCCTGCATCTCTGGCCTGTACCCTAGTTCATGTATGCATAAATAAATCTTTTAAAAAAAAAAAAGAATGTATTATGATCTAGGTGACTCCTATGTAGAGAACAAGTAATAAAGGATGAGAAGTGGGCACAATAGGTGAAAAGAGTCAAAAGGTACAAACTTCCAGCTATAAAATAAATAAGTCATGCAAATAAAATGTACAGCCTGGTCACTATAGTTGGTTTTTTTTTTTTTTTTTAAGATTTATTTATTTATGCATATAAGATTTGGGGTATAGGCCAGAGATGCAGGGGGTGAGAGGATTCACCAGAGACAGAGTAGGAAACAGAACAGGCAGACTGACTGAAACACACTCCTGAGGGGAGCAGCAGGCAAGACAGGAGAGGTCTGCTGCACCATGTGGGTTGCTCCCTGGCCTGCTGGGGATGGAACTCCTGTGGATTGCAGATTGCTTCATAGTGTGGTTCTTAACCCCTTGTGCCACCAGGGAGGCCCTGGTCACTATAGTTAATGCTTCATTGCATATCTGAAAATTGCTAAGGGAATAGATTTATAAATATTTAAATGATTCGCCCCTGGTATACAGTAGTATAAAAGTTTTGGGGAAACACCCTTGTACCTCTGTATGTGTATATATCTCACTGCAACCAGTAGATCTTAAAAGTTCTTATCACAAGAAAAAAAAATTTCATAACTATATATGGTAACATAATTAACTAGACTCATTCTGGTAATCATTTTGCAGTTTATACAAGCTTTTGTTTTATTACTTAAACTCCTTGCCTGAGACCTTTCTAACATATGCTAATACTTCCTGTTTTGCATATATCTCCCCGTAAAACCTAATCAGTGTCATAGCAAAGGCATACGTGATAATAATACAAATTCAAATTACAATTTGAACAAGAGTAGTAATGTCATTTTTTTCAAGAAATAGGCAAATATTTAAAGATGTACCAAAGGGCCTCCATGGTGGCACAGGCGGTTGAGCGCCGCACTATGAAGCTGTTCACAGCCTCTGCAGCGCAGGTTTGATTCCCGCTGGCCAGCCGGCGAGAATCCCACATGGCACGGCGGACCTCTCCTGTCTCGCCCGCTGCTCCTCTCAGCAGTGTGTTTCATCAATCTGCCTGTTCTGTTCCCTGCTTTGTCTCTGGTGAGTCCTCTCACCCTCCCGTGCATCTGGCCTGTACCCCAGCTCTTGTATAAATAAAATAAATCTTTAAAAATATATATATATACACCAAAATTACCAATTAAGATCTAATAGCATAAGTTAATTTGAGAGATAAGGAACTGTATTCTGTTTATTTGTCTCTCTATATTGTACCATATGACCCTGCAGAACTGGTAGCAGTTTTGACTTAAAACTTATAGGGGTGAGAAAAGAAAGAGAAGTTGGGATCTGAGATGGAGATTAGCCATATGATATAAAATTTCTGGATAGTAGACATTTAACTGAGATAGATGAATTGACGTGTCTGTCTTTATGGGGGAAAGTGCAGTGTGTGTAAATGGGATGAAGGTAAACCAAATGATTTTTGACAACATACATGTATATTTCGTAATGATTCAGTGTCTTACATATTCTTCATATACCTTAGCATGATCCCTCAAATCATTTATAAATTTTCTATTAATACATTTCCTCTCTGAGAGAGAGTGAAGGATTGATAATTGATAATTTAAGATTCTAGATTTCACCGTTAAAAGTTTCTAAAAGAGAAAGGATATAAGTTCATCTATATAGACAGTATGGCACTGTAATTTTTTCTTCCATAATAGCAACACATGTAGTTCTTTGGAAATAATTTTATATACCACTCAAAAAGTTATGTTATTATGCAATTTGCAGCAACATGGGTGGCGCTGGAAGGGATCATGCTCAGCAAAACAAGCCAGAAAGAAAAAGAAAAATACCGGATGGTCTCACTGATAGCAGGAATCTAGAGAACTTAAATAAGGGACCAGGAAAATGAATAACTATAAGAAAGTGAAAATCAAAATCAACAAAAAACTATGAACCAGAGACACTTTTTTCGGGGGTGGGGGGCAGGAGGGGAGGGACTGGGGTCAGAATGGGGGAGTTGCAAATGTATGGGGAATATAAAAATAAAATTTATTACTTAAAAAAAAAGTTAATATTCAAAGACATATTGCTGACTGTGAAGCAATATTTTGCATTCTGTCTTAACAAAAATAAATGCTGCGTTTTTGGTTAAAAAAAAAGTTATGTTATTAGAGGGTACTTGCATAAATGAAAAGACACTATTGAGGTGTTTTGCTACATAAAGTGGTACTTTGGTGATTTGAATCCACCAGGCATGCTTTGAACTGTATGTTCCATATTGATGTTTTCTGTTTCTTTGAAAATTACCACTTTAAATGGTAGAAAAAATGAAAATTGATATATAATTTTCCTAGTATTTAAAATAATCTACTGAACACATCTTTTTTTTGATAATGTTTATCAATAATCTTGGTAGGAGGTCTGTATTATAAATAGGATATATTTGGAAGTACTGAAAGTAGTGGAAGCAACTATGTAAGTGTATGACAGAGTCAAATGTTCACTTCCACCATTTGCTTTGAATTAGCTTATAAGGAAGATGCTCAGATATGAGCCAATTTTGAACTTCTAAAAATATTTTCTCCCGTAGTGGGCTTGAGACGGGTGTTCTGTCAGGTCTCTCTGGGACACTAAAGACTCTTGTTGAGACTCTTTCCCTCTGCTTGCTCTCTTTTAGTCTCATCCTCATATCTGTTTTATATTTTAATGTTAACGAAAAGTATAGCTTTTTTTGTTTTTTAACAATCTGCTTTATACATATCCTTGGCTTTTGTTTTTGTTTTTGCTTTCTTCAAGGCAAAAATTACTGTGCCTAATCTAGCATATCTATCACTGTGACTCTTCCTGCAAATAGTAAGTGTACCTCCCACGAATAGGCTTCATTGGTTGGTTAGCTGCCTGTGACATATTTAGGACCTTACCGGCCGTTAATGAGCTTTTGCAGACTCATTTCTGCTTCCTAGTGTTTGCTGCTCTTGCGAGTCCTCTTACTATCCTTTCCTTTTCAGTTCTTTCTCTTTTTTCATGTCACCTATTGTCTCTCTCATGCTCCAGCTTTGTTGTGAAAGACTGATCTTTTATAAACATTGTTAATAATTCTTTTTTTTTCCCATGTAGAATTTTGGCCACTTTAACAAATTGGGTCTCTCAACTCAAATAATCTTCAGCTCTTCCAGCTTCCAGTTGTCTTTGTGGCATCTCTCACAAAAAGAATTTGCAAATCTTCCCACTCTATATTTCATAGGTTTCCAGATCCAGAGCTCCTTGGACATATGGTATCCAGAAAGTCATAGTTTTGTTATATTAGGATTTTTTCATTTATTCTGATCCATAGAGATGAGTTTATTTCTGAGCTGTCGGGGAAAGTTGATACTGAATAGGTCTTAGAGGAATAAGAATTTCTTAATTATATAAAACAATGTTTCAAAGATAGTTAAAATTTTTATACTTGTGTAGATTTGTAAATAGATAAAGTCAAAGGATTCCATTTCCCTTATTTTTAAAAATAAGGGAGTCAAAGTATATACTTGGCCTCAATGTGTAAAGTTTAGAATTTCTAAACCTTTTGGCATGACATACATTATGAACGATGTTTGGGGAGGGATAGGACTTGTATTACTGTCAAAGCAGCATTTTTTTTTCCCTACTTCTTAAAGGTTGCTGTTGAAGAAATCCGGTTGCAGAACACCGCGGATTGAATTGGAAGAGATGGGTCCCTCGTTAGATCTGGTTATGAGGAGAACACATCTGGCATCAGATGACCTTTATAAGTTATCTATGAAAATGCCAAAAGCCCTCAAGGTACGTAACTTGCAGATTAGTGTCACATTTACTTCTTTCTTCCACTCTTCTTTCTAAAATGGATTTGCAGGATATTGCATTAAAAGACTTATACATAAAGAGATCAATAAAATGGAGGCAAAGAAGGGAATAAGAGAGAAAAAAGCAAATGAGCCAACCAAAAATATAATAAATGAGTTGAAGAAATGAGGTGGGGTTTTAAGTGTGGTTGAGAGCTTTCTGGTAGCCCAAACTGAGCATTGTGAAGACCGGAGATTTATTAGAGTACAGAATGAGTAACCCATACTTTAATAAAATGTGTTTTGACTTTTGAATGATTTTTAAAAACACATAGAAATGGCATATTTAGACTATCAATAAAAATTGAAGTGATTGTCATAATTTCCTTAAGCTAAACACAGAAAAGTTTTTCTGTGTATGGTAGTCTGTGTGTTGCTTCTCAGACTATACTCTGAAAATGTTCTGGAAATTGTTACTATAATAACACCTACTTCTCTTGACTTACATGTCTTCTGTGGTTCTTTGAGATGGTCACTCACTATAGCCAGTGCCGAATGGTCTTTATTCTAAAACCAAAGAAAACCACAGGGGCCTGATAGCCCATGAAGAATTCAGTAGTATTGTTGGTATTTTTTTTATATCATCTGAGAAATAGATAATGCTCTAATAGATAATAATTAATCTGGCCTATTAGAATGTTTTGCTTTTATGAATTTGATAGCATATTCATGTTTTAATTTATGGGCCCTAAAGTTTTCTATATGGTTGTAATAAGTCGTTGCAACAGACATTTTCAGTGCCCTGACCATACCTTGTTTCTTCCTACTTAAACATTAGTCTGATTTCCATCTGAAGACATGAGCAAAAAACAAATGCTTAATCTCAGATCTCACCTTAGACCTACTAAACAAGAATTTAGAAAGACCTCCTAGTGTTTTGTATGCATTTTTATGTTTGAGAAGGAAAGTGTAGGGATACAAACTAACATTTTAAGGGAGACCACTCACAAATTGTTAGTAAGGTTATTTTTGTTACATACTGGATTTTTACTAGTTCATGCTATTGAAAGACCATTAAATATATGTATTCTTGTTTCATAGCCAAAGAAGAAGAAAAATATCTCCCATGATACTTTTGGTACAACTTATGGAAGAATTCATATGCAGAAGCAAGACCTAAGCAAACTACAAACCAGGAAAATGAAGGGATTGAAGAAACGACCTGCAGAAAGGATAATAGAAGACCAGGAGAAAAAATCAAAGAGAGTTAAAAAAAATTGATGGAACTTAGCAAATAACTACCTTATCTGTTTGTATAAGAGAATTATCAAACATCATTTCAGAGTTTCTTAAATGTTATTGGATATTTTTGTAACATGATAATTTACCTAAGTTATGTATTATGAACAGTAATGTACTAATACCAGGTTGAAAGTAAGTCTCCTACTTGAAATAGTACAAGTACATCTTGGTGTGCATTTTTTCTCTAAATTTCCTTCTACCTACTCCCTGCAAGTCCCTTATCTCATTCTGTGGTTAAGTGAGAAAGGATTTTCAGAACAGCCATTGGTAGTGGTTTTTTAATTTTAAAATATTTTTTTTTGGTAAAATGAACATTTCCTTTATTTGTATTTAAACTTATAGACCAGCCAGCGAGACTGGTATTACTATTGTCATGATACAGCAAAATACAAAACTTTCTAAAAATATTAGTGTAATGAACAATTAAGGGTCCTATAAAACAGCAAATGGGGAAGAGGTAATCAACAAAACATCCATTGTGGCTTAATCAAGTAAAGCCTCCCAATCCAAGAAAATAGAATAATTTTTCATCACATCTTGGGCTTTTACTTCCTATTCTTGAAATTAGATTCTAGATCCTAAAGATCCTCAAACAAATATTATATCTACCTATGTATAGCAGAGATGTCTTTTATCATGCCCAGAAGAGCCATGGCTATGGAAACCTGATTAGACTCCAGTCATCCCTCCCAGTTAAGTCAATAGGCACGTTGAGAACAGTATACCCAGGTAGAGATAAAGGATTCTAAAGGAAGAAAAATCCCAGGACAAGTAATGCAGCCATTGCCCAAATTGAGATTGAGTAATACACGTATCTTCACACATCTTCAGGCTGTATGTTCATGGAGTAATTTGGGAATAAGTTCATGATTTTCTGGGTACTAAAATACTTAGAAGTCTCCTGTATTGTATTATGGCTTCCCCCACTCAGCCTCCAGAGAAGGCATTTGTATTTTTTGTGTAAATGGAAAGAAAGGACTAATGATTCATATCCTGCCATTTTCAAGTAGATGGACACTAGTTGAATAGCCATTAGGGAAATCAGATGTGATGAATGCAAACTCCTTCTCCAATGTCTGACCCTTACTGTACCCCTTTATGATTCAGGATGCAAAGCAATGGGTCTTACACACCAGCCACTTACAGGAAGGACCCTGCCACTGCTTGGCCCCTCTTCAGCAGAACGATCCACATTAGCAATTACTACATGGCAGCTTCTACCAACTTTACCATAAAGATGATTCCATTTCTATATGTGGGATTTTGTCATAAGGGTGGTTTTTGTTTTAATCAATAGCCCTCTTATTTGAGATTTGGTAATATATCCTTCTGCTCCCTGTGTAAGTTTTACCTCTGATAATAACTATTTGCATCCACTTCACTAATAGAAGTATTATATAGTATAATGGAAATATAATTCAAAGACTTGTTGAAAAATCTTGCAGTTGTCAGAACCATTTGGAGCCCTTGATCCATTGTTTCTATTGCTTTTTGTGGGAAGTACATTCTAATTTCCAGTTCTTGAACTTTAGAACACAGCATATGTAAATTGAATAACAATCATTACAGAGTCTCCCTGGTGGCGCAATGGTTAAAGTCTAAGTGCTATTTGCCAGCCGCTGCAGCATGAGTTCGATCCCTGGCCAGCAGTTAAACCAAATGGCGCAGCAGACCTCTCCTGACTCACTTGCTGCTCCCCTCAGCAGTGTATTTCAGTCAATCTGCCTGTTCTGCACCTGACTCTGTTTCTGGTGTATCCTCTCACCCCCGCACCACTGGCCTGGGCCCCGGTTTTTGTATGCATAAAAAAATAAAATAAATCTTAAAAAAAATAAAACCCACCCACTAGAGGTGCTAAATTGCCTGTCTTAAGATTTACTTTGGATTTTGGTAGATGAGGAAAGCAGGTTGCTTGTTTTGTCTGTTTTATGCCAAACAATGATTTTATGAAATTTGTTTCCTTTTTATAACTTAAATGTTAATATTTGTTTTTTTGGTGTTGAACATAATCCAAAGTAGAATGTTATTACCAAGTCCAGAAAGGAAGGGAGGTTAGGTAACAACCCAAGCCTGTTTTCAATTATCTGGCAACTTCTGATCTCCTTTTTATATTTTTTTGCCATCTTGCTACCCATTCCTGGTGTGGGGTGGAGGGAGGCAGGAAAGGATTGAAAGAAGCTTTAAAATAGAAAAAAATAAAACCACTACTAGAATTTGATCAACAAGGAAAGGATTTTTGTTCTATAATTTTCAGTTATCAGTTATTTGTTATAAAATTAAGAGACTAATACAGGGTCTTACTTATTCTTAATGTACTTTCATTCAAAGGTCATAGAAATAGAATATCCCCAAATTGGATAAAAGGCAAATATATCCTGGGATACATTATGAAATTGTATAGAATATTATTCACACATTGAAATATACTGGCATGAACAAGGAGATAAAATAGACTTGTTGGCTTGTGGTTTGTGCTAACTGTAAGGTCGGTTTGTCTGTAAGTGTATGTTGTTTCCTCATAGCAACAACACTACTTGTTCAAGTTTAAAAACAGCAAAGACATCATGTGTATTTCCTGTACCACCCAGAGTGGGCCATGTTAGGTAATATTAGGAGTTTTAACCGCCTTGTTAAATAACCTTTCTGCACTTTCCACTTCAAAACCTTTTTGAACAGTTATTTTTTTAAAAAAGATTTATTTATTTATGCATGCAAGAACTGGGGTACAGGCCAGAGGTGCCGGGGGTGAGAGGACTCACCAGAAACAGAGAGGGGAGCAGAATAGGTGGATTGACTGAAATACTCTGCTGAGGGGAGCAGCGGGTGAGACTGGAAAGGTCTGCTGCACCTTGTGGGTCACCTCCCTGGCCAGTGATGGAATTCGTGCTACAGTGGCTGGATAGCCTCATAGTGCTGCATCTTAACCCCTTGTGTCACCAGGGAGGCCCTGCCTTTCTTTTTAGATAACCAACATGAATTCAAATTCTATTCTTGTGGGCCTCCCCTGGTGGCGCAGCAGTTGAGCGCTGGGTTGTGAAGCTGCCCGCAGCCTCTGCAGCGCCAGTTTGATCCCAGCCACAGGGTGAGGGTCCCACATGGCGCGCAGTCCTTTCTGCCGCCCGCTGCTCCCCTCAGCAGTGTACTTCGTCAGTCTGCCTGCTCTCCTCTCCCCTATGACTCTGGTGAATTCTTTCACCCTCCCGCGCTTCTGACTGCCCAGTGCTTGTATAAATAAATAAATAAATCTTTAAAAAAAAAAAAAAAAAGAAAAAATTCTATTCTTGTCTGCTTAAACAACCTCCCCCTTCTCCAATCCATTCTCACCCCTGCACACCCCCAGAAGCTTCACACTCACTTGGGTATCAGAAAGTTGGTTCCACATACAGCCCACACATCACAACTTCTTTATCCATTCATACATCAATACACACTTTAGTTGTTTCCATGTCTTGGCTATTGCAAATAATGCTGCTGTGAATATGAGGATAAGATATCTTTTTGAGTTAGTGTTTTCTTCTTCTGGTTATGTAACAGGGTGGTCCCCAGGAAAGGGGGAGGTTCCCTGCCCCACACAAGGGAGGGTGGAGCTGAGCAGGAAGAGGAGAAGCTGCAGAAGAGACTGAGGAAGGAAGCAGGATGGAGCCAGAAGGAGACCTGGAGGAGGCGCATGGAACCTAGACACGTGAAGAAACTGCACTTGTCTTTTGGTCGTGGACTGGGTGACACAGACGTGGGTGAGACCCGTGGGGAGGTGACAATGGCAACTTTTACCTTGATGTTGATTTTGCTCTTTTCCTTCTGGGCTTGTCTGGTTGTTTCTGACCCTTTTCTGTGGGTCCCCACTGGAAGGTGCTTTAGACTTGTGGCAGGCTTTGGGGCCTTGCTCTGGGCCAGTCCCATTTGGATGGAGTTTTACCCACGAGGGGATGGGTAACTTTGGGTTCTTGATTTAGAAACTAGACTCTTTACCTTACCTGTATTGTTTCCTAGTTTTATTAAAGTTCCTTCCTATTAAAGTCTCATATGTTTTGTGTTGATGCGGCGGATGGCAGAACCCATTTAGAATAGGCAGGTTTGCAGGGTTTGGGCTGCCCCTCTCCCTGTCCTATAACAGTTATATTCCCAGAATTGGAGTTACTGGATCATGTGGTGGTTCTATTTTTAATTTTTGTGAAGGAAATCTTTATTGGCAAGTCTCAGGGCTCTGTCCTTGACCTCTGTCACCTTAAACAATTTTATCTTCTACTTAAATGAAGACAAGATACTCATTAAATTTGTGGATGACACAAAGTAGCAAAAGGACTTGAATGACTTGAATGTAAAATATTTGGGGATATAAAATGTCTTGGCTAGCTGGCAAAGTAGAAGCCCAAAGGAGATATTTAGTAAGATAAACTAAAAGTTCAATACCGCAAGGGGTGGGGGCGAATAAACATAAGATTAATGTTGGGAACTGACCCAGGAGACAAATGCAATGTCAGTTAACAAGATGAACAGACTTCCAGAAAAGTCTACAGAAATTTAAGCTGCGCTGACAGAAGTAGAACATTAAGTTCTACTGAATGAAATAGTACATGTGAGTTAGGCAAGAAAGTATGAAAACAGCAAAGTGTGACTGAATATATAAAACTAAAAAAGTGGAGGTAACAGAGACCTAGTATGCTCTAATCTGCCCAAACCACATCTGCAGGATTGAAGGAAACTGAGCCACCTAGAGCATGTTCAGAAGGTGGTGATGGAAATTTTTCATACCTTGCCAAATGAGGGGAAATGATTTATCAGGGGAAAAGGGCATTCATTGAACAAAATTTCAGCAGCTTAAATAGAATATAATTTATGCACAGTAAAAGACATCCATCTAAAGTATATGATGTGGTGGTTTTTGACATATATGTATATACCAGTGAAAACACTGGCACAATAAAGATGGGAACGTTTTCATTACTTCCAAGCATTTTTTCATGCTCTTTGTAATCCTTTCTCCCTCC